TAAGCAGTATAACTTGTGCAATGTAATCAAATGGCTCGGTGGCGGAGAGAGGGGGGGCTAAGGGGCACGTTCCCCCTCACTCAAAATTTTACCTTAAAGAAATTAACTACTAAAACAAGATTCTAAAATTTATACCAGGCATTGAATTGAAAGGAAATTTTTAATGCCTAGAAATGTACTTATCCAATTAGAAATCAACCAAAAAGTTAACAACAGATTTACCTTTATTGCTACCTAACATACATCAAACCGTGATTTTAATTAGTTATGAATCTTTTCGGTCTTGCTCAGCAATTATATATACACATATGCATGTAAAAACAAGGTTGAAGTTGGCCCCCCTAAAAAAATTTATGGCTCCGACATTGATATGGCTCATTGGCAATAGGAGAATAAGGGCAATGCTACACCAAAGACTGCCCCCTCTCAATAAATTTAACCATAAGCCTTCCTGCCTCAGCTGATTTTCCATCTAACAGTAGTTTGTTGCTCACCTTCTGACACAATTTAACATTTGGAATCAAATTTCTCCTGAACATTCTGCAAGCCAATTTATAAGACAGCAGTGGAAGGCCCTTCTTCAGAAAGCAGTCCATCAATATGTGGCAAGTGTCAGCATCCATCTTTGAAGCAGTCCTTAAAACCTTCCCTATAACTTTGTAAGCCTCATCAAGTCTACCAAAACCACAAAGCTTCTCAATAATCTGATTATAAGCAGTTCTAAAACCCTGCCTTGCTAGCATTTTATCCAGCAATTTGAGTAGCTCATCGACACTTCCCTTCGCACAGTACCTGTGGATAACTGTCCTGTAAGTGATAGGTGTGGGAACTAAACCTCTATTTAGCATATTTTTCATGAGCTCTGATGCTTCTTCAAATCTCTCGTTCTTTCCCAATGCATCAATTACAACTGTGTAAGTCACGACATCAGGATGTCTATTACTGAGAAACATGTCATCTAGCAAAGATATGGCAGATACCAGATCACCGGAACGGCAAAATCCATGGATTAATGTAGTAAAGATCACCACAGTAATGGTGCAACCCTTACTTTGACAGTCCTCCATAAACTTCTTAGCTTCAATGGGTTTCCCATCCCTACAGAGTGCATGAATGAGTTGATTAATTTCAATAGGTGTAGGGAAAAATCCATTTTTGATCATTTGAAATACCAGATTACAAGCCTCTGCAAGCTTACCTTCTCTCCTCAGTCCATGCATCACAACACTGTAAGTAATAGCAGTTGGAGTCCACCATTCTTCTTCACTCTTGTTCAGCATATCCTTGGCCTCAATTGAACTACCGATTCGGCACAGTCCATTCAGAAATGCGGTGTAAGTGACAGCATTTGGCTTGCATCCTTTCTTATACATATAATCCATCAACTTTCTTGCTTGATCAATCTTTCCTATGCGACAGAATCCATTGACAACCGCGGTGTATGTCACAACGTCGGGAAGGCGGCCCTTTGTGATCATTTCTTTGACAATATCTTTTGCCTCTTCCATCCTCCCATCCCTACAGAAGGAATGAATAATTGCACTATAACCAACCTTATCAACACGAAAACCTTTTTCCTCTGATTCCTGAAGAAACCCTAGAGCTTCATCACTGTGTCCATGCTTAGAGAGAACATGGATAAGAAGATTGTGAGTTACTTGATCTGGAATCAAATTTGAATCATTCTTCATCTTCTCTAGCAATTCTCTAACTTCTTCAACCCTCTTCTCTTTGCATAAGAAGGTGATCACCGTATAATAACTAATTTTATCTGGAGGGCAGCCTTTAAAAGGCATCTCCCTGATCATTTCCAATGCATCTTCCACCCGGTGAACATCACAGAAGCCCTTGATCAAGCAATTAAAAGTGACAACATCAGGATTAATCCCAACACTCTGCATTCGGTGAAGGAACCTCAAAGCCTTCTCCAACCGATTCGCCATCACAAGCACATGTATTGCTGTGTTGCAGATGACCAGATCTGGGGAGCATCCATCTTTCTGCATTAAATTTAAGACCCTCATTGCACTCCTTAGCTTTCCTGCACGACTATAGGAAACCATAACATTCGCAAAATCTTCTGGCTTACGAGTGATTCCTCTTCTGATCATCAATCTTAGAACCCTCCTTGATGCTTGGCTGAGCTTAGTCTTGCTGAGAATTTCGAGCATGGTGCAATAAACGTCAGGTGAATGCCTGTACCTCCATTGACGATCAGCCCAATGAAAGTAGCTCACAGCCAAGCGCGCATCTGGTTGGGAACACAGAACAGCACTGACCTGAATGGGCTTGAGGCTCCTGAGCAAACTCCGCAGTTCTGCCTCCAGTTTTGGATTCCATGCATGCCGGAGACCAATCAGCCTACAGGTTTCCTTAACCAAAGGATGCCTGGACTCATCTTTTTCCTCCTGGAATCTCTCATTAGACACCCTTTGATCACTATTTCTTTTAAATAAATTCAACACCCCGAACTCGCTGTCATCGCTGTCATCCACGCCATCAGATTCTTCATCAGTTTCACTGCGATCATCTAAATCACACATTTCAGAAAATTCAGATGCTAATCTTCTTCCAGAGCTATGAAAAGGGCCTTCAATCGCTTCACCGGATTCATTGGAATCATGCGAAATATCTGTTCTAGGGTTTGGCTCTCCTTTCCCAGATAAATAGTGATTTTGGCATCCAAGATCGGTCATTTTGCTGAACAGGGCACCAAAGTAAGGGTTTTGCTCGGGACTACCGTCTGACCTGCCGTTCCCACTAGAAGAAGCCGAGGAAAAGAAGGCATTTTGGTTACAAGCAAACGAAGGTGAAGCAAAGCACATACAGAGATTCAAGGACTTGAAGAAGAACTCTTGAGTTTGGGAAAAAACCCTAAAATTGGAGCTTCTCTCTACTCTCCTCAGCATTCCTATGCAAGCAAATCAATGGAGTCGACGAGCCTTGCCTCCAAGAGAAACCGAGCCAGGACTTGGGAGCCAGACTAGAAGCCGGTTACTAATGCGAAGCAACAATTACATAAATAACATTCAAATTTTTATTATTTGGAAGACTAACATTTTCTTACTTTTATTTTTTTTTCCACAAAATATAAAAATAAAAAATTAAATTTTATCTTACAATTTTCATTTTTTATCAAAATGTCAATAATTAATTATAACATATACACTTACATAAATTTAATATTTCTAACAAAGGGCATACATATATTTTTTTTAAAATCAATAAAATTCAAGGGTTATCTATGTAACAAATTATAATGAGTAATACTGCCAATATTTTTATTAGAATAAATGAAAAAACTTAAAATTTGTAATTTGAATTTTGTAGAGTAGGAAATAATTGTTTTATCTTTTTCAATAAGATAAATATAGTTTTAATATATTTTTAAAAAAAAATGATATAAATATATTTTAATTAAAATTTGATAAAAATAAATGTATTTTAAGATAAATATAATATTTTTATAATCAATAAAAAAAATTTCGACTAATATTAAATAAAAAATATTGAATTTGATGTTCTAATTGAAATTTTGATTAAATATTCTCATACAATTATTTTTCTTTTAAGGAAAAAAAAGTTACACACTTAAATTTAATTATTTTATTTATTTATTATAAAATAATTTCTGATAATTTTTAGATGAATAACACATCATTTTTCATAAATATGACACATCTTATATAACAATAGAATTATGCTAAAATTGGAGATGGAGTCTTCTATTATTTTTTTTAAGCTATGGCTTTAGGCCATTAAAGCATTTCACATAGAAAAATTTTAATATGATATTTAATTATTAGAAAACAAAATCGATAAAAAAATTGCCCGAATCTTTTTAAATTAATTGAAAATAAGCCATCATTTTTTCTTGAGTTTCATCCATGCAAGAAAAGATTGATAGAGAGTTAATCATTTCACTTAGCGTTTGAATACTTTCTTCATAATAGAGGTTCAAAACTACTTTGAGAAAGATTTGAGCTTGAAAAGTAAACCTTTTATTTTCTAGTTATTTTGTAATGAGGCACAAGACAACAGTGTGTTTTTTAGAGGAAAGTGAGTTCTCTTTTTTTTTTCTTCAAAAAGAAACCCAAAATTATAAATTTGATGACTATACTATTTTTATCACGTATATGCTCATTTTGTATCATGTCTTTAAGCATAAAGCCACTCATTCACCTAAGCATTCTCATCTCTGCAACACTTAACTTAATATTATACCTTTTTTTTAATGACCAACATTTTGCACCATAAAATCATTGCAGGTCTAATCATAATCTTATAGAATTTTCTCTTAAGTTTGAGTGAGACTTTTCTATCAAACAAGAAGCCCGATACAGTCCTTCACTTCAACCATCTAACTTGAAATATACTAATAATATCCCCATCTATTTCACCATCACTGTCAACAATAGACCTAAGATATCAAAAATACATAATAATTCAAGTTTAACTTAAACTCCCTCCCTTATCTTATCAACAAGAAAAATATCATTCATAAAAAACATACATTAGCGTACAATCTTTTGCAAATATCTAGTGAGAACAATCATATAAGTAAGAGCTGTAATTTGCGTGCCCTCGAATATTCGAAAAATTATTAGATACGGAGAGCGCACCGTGCGCACAAATACTATGTATCGCTACCCAGCGGTACCCAACGATACCAAATGCAGGTATAATACTTATGCGGACGGTTCCGAACCGCACTCCACACTCCGCACCTAATAATCTTCCCAATACTCGGCATATAATTACAACTCTGTTTCATTCCTAATTCTGTTCCTTTTCCGAACCAAAAGACTGACCGGCTCCAGAACAGTAGCGTAGACGAAACCCTCGTCCTCTACCCTCATCGACGTCGATGGCAACGACGAAATCGTGCTACTCTTGGCCAGCGATGCTCGCCGGCGTCCTCTCCGAATCATCCCGTGTCGTATCCGATCACTCCCGTCACTTCCTCGCTCTCTCCGTCCTGTTCCTCCTCCCACTCTCGTCCGTCCTCATCGCTTCCCCCTCTCTCGTCCCTCTCCTCATTCACCGCCGCCAATCTCTCCATCCTCAATCTCTCCTCCGCGAAGCTGCCCCCTCTTCTTCCTCACCCGATCTCACCAGAGCCCTAATTCTCGCCGCAGCCGCCGCCACTCTCTTCCTCCCCATCGCCTCCGCCGCCGTCGCCGCCGTTACACGCAGCGTCAATCATGGATTCTACGGAAGACCGGTTAAGATCCTTCCCAACCTTCGATCGCTACACATCCCCGTTCTTCACCTACTTGCTACCCTCCTGTGCGGCTTTCTTATCTTCTCCGCCATCGTCGCCCTCATCGTCTCTCTCTGCCTCCTGGTCCTCTTTGTCCTCTCAATCCTTGACGTTGAATCTGGTTCCGTCCCCCCATACAGCTTCGCGGCAGGGGTTGCCGCTATCACAATTGCGCGTTTCCAGTTAGAATGGTGCCTCGCCGGCGTAGTCTCCGTGATGGAGTCAAGCTGGGGGTTTGCGCCGCTGAAAAGGAGCGCTGAGTTGATCGATGGGATGCGGTTGGCGGCGATCTGCCTTTGGGTCTTTTTTGGGGCCGGAGCTGGATTTACACTTTGGGGCTTTGGTCTCTGGGAGGTTCCTAGCGGTGGTAACTGGTATGGCGTGATTCCGGTAGTTGGGAAGACCGTGTTAGGTTCTGCCTTGATGGCTTTACTGCTTTTGTACATTTTTGTGACCCACGCGGCTCTATACTTGTACTGCAAGGCGGTGCATGGGGAGCTTCTAGGGGAGATAGTGGAGGAGTTTGCTTCCGAGTATGTTACTTTACCGTTTGACGATAACAGGGTTCCTCATGTTGTTTCTGTGATTCTGCGATGAAACAAAGGAGGCTGTCGTTTATGGTGGTGGTTCATACAGTTTGATGAACTTCTTTGTTTTTTTTGTTTTAAGTTTTTTATCTTTGGTTGTAGGGACGTGTGATGTTTGCGCAATTGCCTCTTGAGGCAAATTGGTGTGCCAAAGTTGCATATATGGTGGGCGACTTCTGTACAAAAATGTTCATGCTTTGGCATGGACAATGCCTACTAATGCTCTTTTCAAATCAGTGTCCTCTTATACTATTACTCTGTAACACCACATTTTGTATGAACTTAACTTTTTTCTAGAAGACTGAGAATTCCGTGGGGGTGGAATATGATTATTAATTCTTTTTGTTTCTAGTTTTATCTACTATGGTAGATTGTTCCTCGATGAATTTCTCAAAGTGCACTTTCACATGATATCAAAGTGCCATTTGAATCTTAGGAGTGTAATTTTCAAAAGAGTTTAGGGTTGTTTAATCATGTATGCTTTTGGTAGGATGGTATTTGAATACTTAATGCACAATTATACTACTGCTGCATCTGCAATAATTATATTAAAAAGCCCATACTTTTGTGTCACAGTTTGAGGAATTTACTGTTTCTCTTTCAATGTGTATCCCTTCAATCTAAATCATATCCTCTTTCTGACGTCACATTTCGTATAAAGTCAAAAACTTTATGCGCTTCTTCATGTTATAACGTTCTCTCATTTTTTCCTTGCACCCCCTTTTCTTTCCATTCTGCTTGCTTGCTATTTTTTTATTTAAACGTTTTGTTTGAGGGAGAAGAAACAAGTATAACAACCTGGGGAAATTTTTAGTCTGGAGGATAAATCATAACTTCATTTAGTTGTTTCTTTATACTCAGCTCTTTTAGGGGCATGTTAAATCAATTGCTACAAGAATGTTTGAATGATTAGGGAATTCAGCGGAGGAATTCCTAGCGGTGGGAGCAGCCGAGCAGGTATGTGATGCTGGTGAATTGCTACAAAAATGGTGCCTCGAGGAATTCCTTGCTGCTCTATCTTTTTTGGCAGGGGAGACTTCAGATTTGAATCATGTCCATTCAAGCATTAAAAACTAGGTAAGAGGCTCAGATTTTCTTTTTAACTTTTCTTTTCATGTCTTGCAAGTTTACTGCAATTGTATTGGAATTACCTAACTGTGTTACGATTGAGCTGGTCTTCAGCTTGATTTTTTCTTGTTCGTATGCCAAATTATTTCTTCCGCTCAGAGTCTCTTCTTAAAATGTACATATATATACAAATAATAAAGTATCATTATGCAACAAATCTTCCATTCGCTATTCTCATCTCTCAGATAAATTAGTATTTTATATTTCCTTCTACTTTGATTTATCTTGTTGTAATTGAATTTTTCTTTGCAATTCTTATAAGCTTGGCTTATTATTTATTAGGAAATTGGCAAATTTTCTTATTATTAATTTAGCATGCATGATTATCGATTATCCTTTTGTAATGTTAGTCCCACCCAGTCACATGACTAGCTCTGTATAGATGATGTGACAATATGATTGCAAGACATGGATTGTTATCCGTCTATGCTATATTTATATATTTTCTTGTAGGTTGAATTACTTCGTCTGGCAATAATTAAATGTTAGGTTGTTAAGGCGGTGCAGGGCACAACCTAGATGACCCCACATGGGCTAGCCCTTGTTTACAGGAGGCGGTTCAAACCGCCTCCCAATGGCTTTACCGCCTATGCCATGGGGCTTTGCCGCCTAAGCCATGGGGCCCACAGCCTTAATTTGGGCTGCCGCCCTAGGTTGGGGTCCATTAGGGGATTTAAAAATTAAAATAAAGATATTTTAGGCAAGGAGAGAGAGGCGACTAGGGCTTAGGAGGCTTATAAATAGGGAAGAGAGGGGAAGGGGTAGGGAGGCTCATGTATTGTGTTCTCTTGGAGTCTCTTGTGAGTTTTGGGCTCTAGACCTAGTGTCTAGAGATTGGGAGAGAAAGATCCTCCTCTTGAATAGAGGATCAATTATATATTTTCTTATGTTTGCTTTGCTTTGAATTATCAAATAAAATCTACGGTTATCGTTGGTTTTTATCAATTTCTTGTTAGTGTTGCTTGCGAACTCAAGTATATTCGATAGGATTACTTTCAAACTCAAGTATTTCCTATCAAATTGGTATTCCTGGGATCAACGACGACTGAATTTCTGAAATTTCAGCAATAAAGTCATGGCCGGAAAGAAGGTGGAGGTTTTGGAAGGTGAGATCCGATAACTCAAATCAGATTTGAAGGGAAGATTTTCAGATTTTCAAAATCAGATTTCTTCCAATAACAAAAAGATGGAAGGAAGGTTCACCGTTATGGAAGAAATGTTAAAAAAATTACTAGAAGTAAAGACCAATCTAGCAACATCGGAAGCAAGGGAAACCATAGACATCCATAGAAGGGGTGGAAACCCTAACACATGGAAGGGGAGAGGAAACCCGGAAGTAGAAATCTTGGGAGGGAGAAGACTGAATGTCTCCTCTAGAACATCTTTCTAGGGAGGTGATTAGCACCGATTTTGAAAGAAGAGTTGTTGATTTTGAAGGGAGAAGAGAAGATTTCTACCACTGAGGAGCAAATTTTGAAAGAAGAAGAGGGGATTTTGACAACATGTTTAGGTACGATCACCAGAGAGAAGACCGAGACAACTGTGGAGCACCTTCTCTTCACAAGATGGGAGAATATGGAGGATTCCGAGGTGACCTAAAGGTGAGAAAGCTGAAGATTCGAGGGCGAGGATGGCCATGGGTGGATCTCCAAGGTGGAATGATATTTCGCCGTCAACAGATTGACGGAGGAAGAGAAGCTAGCGACAACAGGACTATGCTTAGAAGGAACAGCACTGGCATGGTATCAATGGCGTGACCTAAGGCAACCCATCATGAAACGCATTTTTGTGTTTTGTCTCGGCTGTGAACAGTGCGACACCAGTATTGGCATCGCATTATTTATAGAAACCCATTTTTTTCGCTGTTGTGTTACAATAAATATAGAAAGAATATACACATTATATATATATATATGATGTTAGAAATAAAGTTCGGTTGAAGATGAATTACTATTTGATATGACTGTTACTGCATTATGAAATGGAAAATAGGTTTTTCGCTTGAGATGCCCTAAAGCAAGCAGTGGCACCATATCAACAACATTTTTTTTTTTTCCACAAATTGATTCAATGAGATATTTATTCCCTTTAAAATTATATTTTATCATTTGTTGAAATTCTACATTTCAAGGTTATATTGCCTATTATGTTTAGAGACTCAGTTATTTTATTTTAATTTATTTTTTTATCTGTTGCGAGTTTGCTGTAACTGTAATGGAATTATCTTCTGACTGTTATATGATTGAATTGACCTGCAGATTGCTAGCTTGCTTTTGTCATATTCAAAGTATAAATGATTTCTTCTGCTCGATATCCTTTTCTTAAAATGTAATTTTCTTGTTCAGAAGATAAATGTTTTCGTCTGCTCAGTATATTTACTTTTTTTTTGTTTGAAACAAACAGAGATTTACAGTTGCTGAAAATGAGAAACTTAAATGTTACTTTTTTGATAGATAGCTTATTCAATTGTATTTTATCAAGATAGAGCACAAATGACTATTAACAACTAGGTCTTGTCAATTTCACAATAATATATAACAGTTATGAGGGAGAGCCATCACAATTTGTTATAGTACAGTTTATTAAAATTTATTTAAAAAAGTATTATCATCAATGTTGCTATTATCATTATTATTTTTTCAAAGACATTATAATTTTTGTTTATTGTAGTTCTTGATCCCTTGTGTAGATGTAAATGATTGATGGATTATGTTTGGCTGACAACCACTCATAAAACTTATTTCAAAACTAATGAATTGATTCCAAATTTTAAAATTACAGGTGCTAAGTTGTTCCTCGGAAGGGCCACAAGCTATGATATACCCTGATTGTGGTGAGAAGCAGGCAATAGCAGTCTAGGACGTTGGTTTTAAGTGATACATCATAAATTAATTTGATTGTGGTGAAAAGTAAGCAAATATTGGTTAGATCTTAATATAAGATTAGATTTTCCTCATGTAATCTAAGAACTTTAAGTTTGAAGACAAGAGAGTTGGTGGACACTATGACAAGAAGAATAAATATTGCTTATTTACAATAAATTAAATGAAAAGGAGCAAAACCTAGGGATATTGTTGAAGAGTATTGCATGTTAGAAAGGTTAACAATCATAAAACTTAATCTAAGAACTTTAAGTTTGAAGTTATTGCATGTTAGAAAGGTTAACAATGTAAATGAGGTTGAGCTAGTAGTGGATAAAGATTTGAAAAGTAAAATTGTTGATTTAATAGAGTTAGTGATAGGCTGATTATTATTAAGATAATTACTATTAAGGAAATTATGGATGCAGGTAATGCGTATTATCCTCAAATTATATTAGAAAATAGTTTTAAAATCATTTTGGAAAAAGATAGATTAACTAATACAACATATACCTACCAAAGAAAGAATAGTTATGGGAGGTGATTTAAATAAACATACAGGTGTTCTAGTAGAATGTGCTATAAGAGGATTCATGGTGATTTTGAAGTAGAAGATAGAAATGCAATGGGAGAATCCATGATTTTGTACTTACATATGATCTTGCAATAGTGAATATATACTTTTGGGGTTTAGGATTATTCATAAAAGTGGATTAACCAAACCACAAATAAATTTCCTCTTACTTAAAGGCAAGCTTTTTTGTATAGTTTGTAAGATGATTCCAAGAAAAGCCATGGAGCATATAGTAGTAGTTATAGATTTAGAACTTTAGAGTAAAGAATACAACAAAAAAAATTATGGCCCTTGATATGATGCTGGAATTTGGAAGTTGTGAATTGTTAATCTTTCAAGATATATTATTAAAAATGACAAATTGAAGTTCTTGTGTGTGTGATAAGATGGTTTTTTCTATTAAAATGATTGTTATAGAAGTTTTAAGAAAGCCTGGAGGGAAATCGTGTGCTGATTAGAAGACTTGGTAGAGTGAGGAGGTTTAAAAGGTTTTTGTAGAAAAAAATGCGCTTTAAAACTGTAGTGAGCTAGAAAGCTAGACTTCTTGAAAGAGAGTACAGAGTAGTGAGTAAAGCAAAATCTATTATTTTTTATGATTTATGTTATAAGTTAATGAAGGAGAAAATGAGATATTAGAATACCTAAGATACAAGATTAGAGATCTAGGTATTTTTGTCAAGCTTGAGGCATTAAAAGTGAATATAGTAGAATCTTGATTCTAGATAAAAATATCAAGAAAATATGAATTTTTTTTTTAGAAATTACTAAATGAGTGCTTTAAGGATGAAATTATTTTGGAAAAGCATATTAAAAAAGATAATGAAGTATATTATAGATTAATCCAAAAAAGTGAAATATAATTAACTCTAGAAACATGCATACATATAAGACTATAGGCCAAGATGAGATATCTATTGAGTTTTGAAGAGTTATAATGGATGTTATAGTGATTTGATTATCAATTTTTTTCAAATAAAATTTTGAAGACTAAGAGGATATTAAATGATTGGAGAAGAAGCAACCTATGATGCACCGACACTACTCCTCAAAAAGTCATACAGTGTCCGACACGACACACATTCGACACACCTCCGACATATGTCAGACACATAAAAAATGTGTCATATTTTAAAAAATATTAAATATAAATTGGACAAGTCTTAAATATTTTATATTTTTTTAATATAATTTATTGCATTTAAATTTTTTATTTATTTAAAATATAAAATTAAATTTCTTATTTTCTATTCACATAACCAAATCAATCGCCCACACTCAATATCCCATTCATCAAATATTCTTATTTTCATTTCATTTTTTGCGGGTAATTTAGTATGCTTGATATTAATAATTATTATCGCATATTATTATAAGGTATGTTGGTGCCTAGGTGTGATATGCTTAAGTATCTTGGTTCTATTATACAAAAAATAATGATATAACTTGTAGAGTTAAGAATTGATGGTTGAAGTAATATGATAGAAAGGATATTGTTATGGCTTAAATATAAATTTTATAAAACCCCAATTCGATTGAAGATGTTATATAAATTTTGGATGTTGCATTGTGAAAAAATATTTATATCTAAGTTGAATGTGACAAAATGAGAATGCTAAGATAAATTCTAAATGTACCATAAAATTATGGTGGATGAATTAATCATATTAAATTTAATGTTAAGAGTAAAATCTATTGAAACAAAGTAATTGAAAACAATTTTAAGTGATTTGGATATATACAACAAATAATAAAAAATGCATCATTAGATGGGTTGATGAAATTAGTGTTAGAGGTTTGGAAGGAAAATGGTAAAAGGGTACATGCGTTGAATCCAAATTTATTCGTGGATAACACCTGACCTTACTAGAAGATGAACTCTGAGAGGGGCAACTTGGGAACTTGTGTGAGAATGGAGAAACATTTCACTGGAAAAAGTTTGCAGTAGAAGGGCTCAGGAGGCTCAAAATCTCATTGACTCAAAAGATACAAAATGCGCATTAACCCTTTATTTATATGGATTCAAGAGCTATAAGAAATGCTACATTTTGAAAAAATAAAAAAAATATATTGATTTAATAACTCTTAGTACAAAATTTGGCTAGCTGAATGGTGAACGACGCTATATAGCCTTGGTGATTTGCCTTTATGTGAGTTCAACAGTGTTAGTGTGCATGGGTGAGTCTGTAGGCGAGCTCCAAGTTGAAGTGGCTTGTGGCTAGTAGGCATCCTGGAGTCGGTGGCGACATGTAGGGGTGGAGCTAAAAATTTTTATTAGTGGGGGAACAAATTGATGATTTCTAAAGTGCTTCAACTTTTTTTAGGTGTTGTACCAGGCAAGCTGAGAGTCTCGTTGGTAGGCTCTTTCCTGTTGTTGGGGTTGGCGACCATTTATGATGCACCGACACTTCTCTTCGAAGTAGCGTGCAGTGTCCGACACGACACACGTCCGGCACTCCTCCGATATGTGTCAGACACGTCAAAACGTGTCTGATTAAAAAATATTAAATATAAGTTGGACACATGTGTCTTAAATATTTTATGAATTATTTTAAATATAATTTCTTGTATTTAAAATCTTTATTTATTTAAAATATAAAAATTAATTTTTTTTATTTGCTATCCACAACACCAAATCAATCGCCCGCACTCAATATCACATTTATTGAATATTCTCATTTCCATTTCTCTTTGGCGGGTTGCAACTTTGATTTTATAACAATGTCCGATGTCATCTCAACATCGACATCTGACGTCATTACAACATCGACATTTCAAAATTATCTCCACATCAAAGTCTGACATTGTCTTGACATTGATGCTTGACGCTAGCAATTTCTACACCCACAACTTGACAGCTCATCTTTGTCTGACGTCTTTTTAACATTGATGACCAACGCTCTCTTAACATCGACGACAGACACCCTCTTAGCATTGACGCCTAATACTTACTACATAACATCGATGCCCGACTCTAAACATAATTTTCGACTCCTCTCTCGATGTTTGATACATGGCATCGACGCCTAACTCTCGACATCTTAATATTAATCATTTTAAGCATAAAATCTAGTTCAATAGCATTCAACATGAACAAATGGAAAATGAGTATTTATAAACCCAACCCAAATAGTTGGGATGGCGCTAATTTCAATGATGATGAGTTATGAGAGGGAGGGATTGATTTGCTGAAACAAATAAAGTTGAACAATGGAGGTATTGGCTGAAACAAAGAAAGATGAACAATCGGTGAAACTGCGTGACCTATGTATGGTATACAAGTTTTAATGATAGGAAAGTAGGCAACTAATAAAATTGTGTATAAAGATGAGGGTATAGCCCAAGTACAAATCATATCATATAATGTAATACAATATGATGGAGTTAAGGGAGGGAGGGAGGTTACTTATGCTGGCAATGCTTAAAAGTTCCAAGTTCATGTTGTTCCTAGGTCATTTTATAAATTCTTGGAGGGAGGGAGGGAGGTTACTCAAGCTGGAAATGCTTATATGTTCCAAGGTTATTTAAATTCGTAGAACTTTAAATCTCACCTATGAACTGAAGTGGGAAAGGCAAAGTAGTTTTTGAGCTAATTATTATAATTGGTTTTTGTATTGAAGCTTTAGTAATATTAATCAATTGTTAAACAATAGTTTAGCTCATTTATTTTTTAAACGGAAGAACCTCTTATAATGCAGAATCTAGTTTAACTCGTGAAGGTTGTTGATGACACCTATCACCCTGACAAAAAACACGAGGCTGAATAGGGAAAGTCAGGCAGAAGCTTACATGCTATGATGGCTTGTATATTAAGCCACTGTTTCTTTTCCTTCTTGTTTTCCGCTTGATTTTTCTCCTGCTTTTATCGCTCATAATACATGGTCATGGGTGCAGTTTATTTCATGATACTATCTCTCATATTTTCTTATCTCTTGCTGTTATTGCTCATAATACATGGTGCAGTTTATCTCCTGCTGTTATCACTCATGATACTTCTGCAAGATCCTACTGTATTTCATATGGATACTGGAATGCGCCAGTGATATTCGAGTGAAATACTTCTTGATTCCTTCTACTTACAATTTGCCTACAATTGGTACGTCTAAATATGCCTAACTATCAAACATATGGCTATTCTACTCGTTTGAAACAATGAAGTGGACCCCATGTCCCATATGCCATATATTATTGAACTCCAAATGGTACAACAACAACAATAACAACAAGCCTTTATCCCCACTATGTGGGGTCGGCTACATGAATCCTTTTTATCCAATATATTCGATTAAGAGTCGAATTTACATTTAGATCCAATAAGGAAAGGTCATTTCTAATATTTTCTAACTAAGACTCTTAGGCTGCCTCTATCTTTGTTAACATAGATTAAGGTTTCGTTTGGGACGGCTTTTTTACTGCTTTTTGAAACTTTATAGTATAAAAATTTTAATGTTATAATAAAAAGTTGCCTTAAAAAGCAGTAAAAAAACCGTTTCAAACGAAGCCTAAATTTAATAAGCATGCTATTTTTATGTGTTTTTACTGAGTTTGGATGCATATGAATAAGCATGCTATGTTATTGTTGTCATGTCTGTGTTCTTCCACATTCTTAAACAGATGGCCATAAATATTTATTGTTTCATTGATATACTTACATGTATGTGTATTTGTCAACATGTATATGCATATACATACACACAATAGTCAATTTCCTTATGTTAGAAGGGATGGTGAAAATTAAAAAAAAAAAAATAAAAAAAAAAAAAGATCATATTACAAAAAACACGAGGCTGAATAGGGAAAGTCAGGCAGAAGCTTACATGCTATGATGGCTTGTATATTAAGCCACTTTTCTTTCCCTTCTTGTTTACCTCTTGATTTTTCTTGGTCTGCCATATTTTCTCATCTCCTGCTGTTATCGATCATAATACATGGTCATGGGTGCATTTTATATTTTCTTGATACTTTTGCACTATACTGGAATGCACTAGTGATATTCAAGTGAAATACTTCCAGATTCCTTCTACTTACAATTTGCCTACAATTGGTACGTCTAAATATGCCTAACTATCAAACATGGCTATTCTACTCGTTTGTAACATTGAAGTGGATGCCATGTCCGATATGACATATAGTATTGAACTCTAAATGGTACAACAACATCGATCATTTATCCCGCTACGTGGGGTCGGCTACATGAAAGTTTTTTCTCCAGTATGTCCGATTAAGAGTCAAATTCACATTTAGATTCAATAAGGAAAAGTCATTTCTAATATTTTCTAACCAAGACTTCTTAGGTCTGCCTCTATCTTTCTTAACATAGATTAAGGTTTCGTTTGGGATGGCTTTTTTTACTGCTTTTTGGAACTTTATAGTAAAAAAAATTTAATGTTATAATAAAAAGTTGCTTCAAAAAGCAGGAAAAAAACCGTTTCAAACGAAGCCTAAATTTAATAAGCATGCTATTTTTATGTGTTTTTACTGAGTTTGGATGCATATGAATAAGCATGCTATGTTATTGTTGTCATGTCTGTGTTCTTCCACATTCTTAAATAGATGGCCATAAATATTTATTGTTTCATTGATATACTTACATGTATGTGTATTTGTCAACATGTATATGCATATACATACACACAATAGTCAATTTCCTTATGTTAGATGGGATGGTGAAAATTAAAAAAAAAAAAAAAAAACAGATCATATTGGTAGTTGCAAAATGAAGTATATAATTTTTAAAATTTTATTTCTCCATAGTACAGTCTAAAAGCTTACATAATCCTTTTCTCACAAACATAATAAAACAAATCAAGCAAAATACTTTTTATTCTTATTAATCTCACCATAAAGTTGAACTAAAAAGTCATATCTGAGACAACACATTCATCATATATTGATGTGGCCTGCACAGAGCTTCAAGATGCTTAGCTCTCGGCATTGTAAGTCCTGACCCTTCCGTCATGTCCACCTCTTCTGCTCCAATCCTCTTCCACTCAAAGCATTGGATTAGAATCCCCAACACTAATCCAATCTCCTTCAATGCAAGCCCTTCTCCCGGACATCTCCTCCTCCCCATCCCAAATGGCATCATCGTCATCTTCGACCCTTCTTCTTCCTTCGCATTTTGAAATCTTTCGGGGAGAAATTTGGTCGGTTCAGACCAAATCGCAGGATCTCTATGGATTTTATGAACATTTACTAAGAGCAGAGTTCCTCGGTCCACGGCGTAGCCTCCGATCTCGCAGTCCTCTCTTGCTACGTGAGGGATGAGGAGAGGGGCGACGGGATACAGACGGAAGGTTTCGTTGATGATGCAGTGGAGGTATGGAAGTTTGATGAGATCTGATTCTTCGAGGAGGCGATCATGTCCGATTTGGTCATCGATCTCTTGCCTCGCCTTCTCTAATTTGTCGGGATTGTTTAGTAAGAGAGACATCGACCATTCTATTGTGTTTGATGAAGTGTCTGTGCCCGCTGCGATTAAGCTCTGATAAAAATGAAGAGAGAGAGAGAGAGAGAAGAAATGATTGGAAAAGCTTTCAAAGAAATACAAAATGATTTCATTTTATTGCAGGATTGGTCATTGCAATTTTTTTTTTCTTCATTTTTTTAATAGCGGCATATGGGTTGGTCATTGCAAATAAATCCATTGTAATTTATTTATAGAGCTGACAAAATTGGGTGGTATTGACCCACCTAAAATTGGTCTTGTATTATTCGGGTTGACCCTAACCCAATCCGTTTTTGAAAATAGGTATGTTTTTTGGACCTGAATTGAATTGACCCGTAAGTCTTAAACCTCATTCCCATAACTCACGCGCTTGTTGAGCCAAATCCCATAACTTAGTGGTCCAGTCCTCCAGCAGCAGAGAGGCGCGACAGTCGGAAGGCGGCAACATGATAACAAGCACGCGGGCCAGACAACACTACTGATGCTACACAGGCAGCCGGGGCAGGCGACTGGTAGGCGATGCGGGCAGACGCCGACAAGGGCTGTCAGAGAGGGCAAACATGTTTTTCCGGGTGATTTCAGAGTTTCCGGGTCAACTCGAACCTGACTCATTTCTTTAAATGAGTTGATTTTTTGAACCTAAACCTGACCTGTTTTGGGTCCAAACCGAAATTTTCGAGTTGGATTTTTGGGTTGGGTCAATATTATTAGGTGCCGAGTGCGCACGGGGAAAATCGTCCCACACAAGTATAGGGTACCCAGCTAGGTACCACTCGGTACTGCTGGGTACCGCTTGATATCCTGTGCTTGTGCGGATGATGTGCGGACGGTCCACACTTTGCACCTAATAATTTTTCCAAATATTGGCACCCCTACTATTTGTCAAATGAAATATTAAATTCAATTGTCAAATCACTCTTTTTTTTATTAGGGTTTCATCCGGAGCATGCAATATTTTTTATAAAAAAAATTTTGAATTTAAATTTTTTTCTTAGAAAAGTGTTTCATAAAATAATAAAAATTTATCTCAAACGTAAACTTCATATTTTAAAGTTTAATTATTTTAGGCATTAGCGACATTTCAAAACTTCAACATCTTTTTTTATAATTATGAAACCGGCCACCAGCTACAATAATTAATTAATTATTTTCTAACCAATTGCCAACTGTTAAAAATATATATGAGAAAACTATGAAAAATATTAAAAAATTTATCCGCAATGTAATTTAGTAAAAGTTTACTTCTGCATTTGAATTTTTTACAAATTTGATGAATATTTAAAGAATTATGTTATTTTCATTGAATTTAAAATTTTAATTTTTATAAATATGTCATTGTGATATACTTTGTTCATATTAATATATAGGCCAGTTTTTTTTTAAAAAAAATATTTTTTTATTATAAAAATTTTATTTATTATCAAATCAAACCTAAATTGATCAAAGTGATAATTTTTCATTACAAACACAATTTTTTTGTGTTAATAAATATTATCATATTTATATTTCAGCTCTCCCTACTTTTTTTTTTTTTTAAATATGTAGGGATTGGGGCGAAAAAAAAATAAAAAACCAAATCCAATGAGAACTTACATTAATAAGCGATTTAATGAAGACATCAGTGTACTGCTCCGGCTGTTCGTCCTGTAAAGAGAGCAGAGCATCAATCATGGTTTTATGAATTTTCTGCTTCTGCTTCAATCCCCCTTCTTTTTCTTCTTCTTCCTCCTCTTCTCTTCTTCTCATCTTGTGCTCTTCTATAAGTGACTGAACAATTTCATCCCTGTACTTGTGATATCTCGCCAACTTTTTATCCACTTCTCGACGTGCAAACCACCCGATCGCCGCCGGCAAAAAGTCTCCGACGTTGTTCGCGCCGGTAAGCGAGAAGATCTTCTCTATCACGTCCTTGAAATTATGCGCCTCCTCCTTTTCACCTTTCTCCCCATAATACCTCTTCCCTGTTACACATTTGATAATCGATCAACGAAAATTGATAACGAATTTCGAGTTAAAAGTTCAGAACCTGCTATAATCCTCATCATGACATTCATTGCAAGCCCGAACAAGCTTGAACTGATCTCCACTTTCCCCGAGGAATGGAAGAGGCTTCGGGCCAGGGATCGAGCCTCGTCCGCCCGAATATCGGAGAAGAAGGCGAGGCGGGGGCCCGAAAGAGCTTCGACGGTGGCGATTCGGCGCATTTCGCGCCAGTGGGGTCCGTATGCGGCGAAGGGGAGGCTGGTGTGGTTGTAGGTTATGACGGCCATGGAAGGGAAATGAGGGCGGTCTGCGAGTGCGATGTCGTTGGTGGTGAAGCATTCATTGGCGATGGAGGCGGAGGAGACGATGAGGGCGGGATGGTTTCCGAAGCGTAGGAGGAGGATCGGGCCGTGCTGGGTGGAGAGACTTGCAAGAGATTGGTGGAGGGGTTTCTGGAGAAGGTGGAGGTGGCCGAGGATGGGAAACGAATTAGGAGGGCTTGGAGGCGGCTTCTTCTTCTCCCTCTTCTTGTTCTTGTTGGTTATGAAGAGTTTGATTACGAGGAGGAAGGAGAGGAAGAGAGCTAAGCTGGTGAGGATCTTCATGGCGTCCATGGCGGGAGGAGGAAGAAGGGGTTCTGTATGGGAATCGGTGGCTTTAGCTTGTTTAATTTATAGGCAAAATTCTTAAACAGAACGTATTAATAATTTAATTTAAAATTAAAGGGAAAAAAAGTATATTATAATATATATTTTTTAAATATAAGTCAGGTTGAATAAAAAAATATTAAGGCTCCATTTGACACTATTTTCTTACTATTTTTTAAAATAATTTTTTAATATTTTTTTTAATTAATTATTTTATATCTTTTAATTAGAGATATAGATTTTGTGTCTGATACTGTGTTAATCAGATTTTAGCGAGTCATGCCGACTTGTGAACTTGCTCAAGTTCGACTCGTTAACAGGCTCGACGAGATGAGTCGAACTTAACAAGCTCCTGAGTCGAGCTCGAACAAGATATCGAGCTCGATAGGCTTATTGAGCTCGAGTTCGAAAAATCCTTCGCTGGACTCAATTACTCGTCGAGAGGCTTCGAGGGGAAGCAAAAATGCGGGATCAGACACTGGAGCTTGGGCGGGTGGGAAAACAAAACTGTGGACATGAAACTCTATACAGACGAGGCTTAATTGCGTGCGTCAGATAAGGAACATCACTACTTGCGAACACATGAGCTCATCGGCACTACTTGCTGACACGGAACTGCTCGATGAGCTCATTTTCCCCTGTCGAGTCGAGCTTGGTATTTGGCAGTTGAGTGAGGCTCAAACACTCCCTCACTTGATCTCAACTCGACTCATTTGCACTTCTACTTACCAGCAAATGCTCATAGATTTGATTCTGCATAAGCTTCATTTATGACTCTTTTTTATATATTTCTTAAAGTAACTTTTTAATTAAAAAAAATTAAATTTTTTTTACTATAAAACACTTCCTTAATAAACAATAAGAAAATAGTCCAAAGACATCCATTGTAAAATTTGTCTTGATTTAAACCATTCTCATGAACACATGAATTTAGGCATGAGCTCGTTGGGTTGATGAAAGAATAGATTTTTTTAAAAAAATAAAAATAGATTATTACGTATGCGATTAGGTGTATTTTTTGGCTATAAAATCACACGTCACGGCCTGCGATATATTATAGATTCCCACATGAAACTCATGAGAAAAGAAATTTCTTTTAAGTAAAACAAATTCGTAAAATCCTCTTTTACTAATTTATCCTCTAAAGGTTTTTTTTTTTTAATTTTTTTTTATTGAACTTATTGAGAATGTGATAAGATAAGATTATTTTTATTTTTTAATACACATAAAAAGAATGAACTTACTTATGGTTTGCATAAATTAATAAATAAGATTATTTTTATCCATAATTTTTTACTTAATCGAGCAAGCTCGTGAGCTCGATGAGCCTCATCAAGCTCGAGCTCGAGCTCGAGATTTGATAAGCTCGTCTCGTGAACTCATTAACAAGTCAAGTCCGAGCCGGCCCGCTAGTCGGCTCGACTTACACTCTAATATGAAAAAACTTGTATGAATGTAGAGCTACTCAAATCAGCTGATCTTTTATTCTGTACGGATACATGACGGGAGAACCGTCCGGTTAAGCACTAGGTACCCAGCGGTACCTAAGGATTTCGAGTGCGGGTACCGAGCTGGGTACCCAGCAATGATGTGACGTAGAGCATTTTTATTGGTCTCCGAATGCCCTCCGCATTCCGCACAGAATAATAAATCCAAATCAACAGTACGAATAAGAACAAATAATTGCTTACAATCATGAAATTAAAGCTGCAATAATTATATGCCTTATTTTAAAAGGTTTTATATCTATGCTGCCTAACTGGTTTGCCGAAGAAGATCAATAAAGAGGACTCGGCGTTTTAAGGCTATCAAATTTGCTGGCAGAGTTTATATATAGACCAAAGAAAACAAGTTCGGCGGCTCTCCCTTTCTCAAAGGTCTCAAACTATTGATATATGATAGTTGCCGCAAGAAGAATATCTGATCCAGAACCTATTTGCTTCCATGAAATCTGCAAGAACTGTCACAATGAATGAAAACCAGTAAAATGTATTTTATGAAAATATATTTATTAAATTATATCATTTAGTCGAATATAATTATAATTTTAAAATTCCGTTTTGAATCGGGTCGGGTCCGGATCGAATTTTCGTGTCGTGTCAAATATTGACACCCCTAACTATTTTCATGATTGATGAAAGCATTAGTTCATCATTAACGTGCAATAAGCACATTGCAATAGGACAACGAAGAGAAATTAAGAAGTATATCAGGGATTTGAATAGTTGTAGATATTGTGCATGGAAGACGATGGGTTATGGGCGTGAAAGATGAAGGGTTAGCGCGAAGCCCGTGCGACTTCAGATCCGACAGGAGGAGAACAATTCTTCTTCACGCGAAGCCCGAGCTACTTTCAACTTGGAATTTTTATTAGGTCTAAACACCTGACGTAGCTCTACATCCCGACGCCAATAACATGTCGCCACGTGCTCCTACTCTTTACCGCGCGGCCCGACGACCCGACCTGGACCGGAACCCGGTATTGCTATGTTTGTGTATTGGTAGGTATTGCTTGACAATAACGAGAAATACTACTCTATCAAGACCAATACCGAGCAATACCCAGCAAAACCGGGGTATTACTCGGTATTGCTAGGTATTGGTCTTGACACAATGATATTTCTCATTATCGAGCAATACTGAGCAAAACCTATCAATACCCTGGTCTGCACAAATCAGCTAATACATAGCAATACCGGGTTCTGGTCCGGGTCGGGTTGTCGGGCCACGCAGTAAAGAATAAGAGCACGTGGCGACATTTTATTGGGGTCCGAATGTAGAGCTACGTCAAGTGTCCGGACCTAATAAAAATTCTTCGACTTGACGAGGAGAAGAAGTGATGCGGAGACATAAGACCGGCACAGGATAACAAACCCGTACAGGCGGACATCTTATCATAGGGCTGCTTTAGTTCGTTAGTAGTGGAGCTCATATTAGTACTATTTTTAGTTATACAGCATATTATATACTTTTTGTTATTTTACTGTTTTAGAATACTTCTTCTTTTAAGCTGAGGAAGAAGGAGAAAGGAGGTATGATATAGTTTTTACAGCTTTAATACAAATCAAGCTCTGCAAATACCTTGCAAGCTTCTACTGTTGCATTAATTCCTGTTTGCTTGTGTCTTCTACCGTGAGATCCTACATCAAGAAGAAGGTGAAAAAACTCTTTATAGCTACCCTTTCAGACAGGAGAAGAAGGCAATCCGTAGAAATAAATGGATGGGAGCGAATTCGAAGAGGAAGAGGTGCGAAATCAGACGGTGCAGATTTAAAAAAAAAAAAAGCAGAGGCCAAGATCGCTTAATGGAGAATCTCAAGCGGCTTATGTTTAGTTATTAAATAAGAGCCGTAGATGAAAATGGTGATTAATTAATACATTATCATAAATGATAACTATTTAATACATCGTTAAAGTAATTAAAATAATATATTTGCTGTGAATAAAATTATAATTATTGATCAATTATAATTAAAATAATTAAAATGAAAGGATGGGATTAAATTTAAGTAGTTAAAATGGAAGGCTAAGATTGTATTTGGGTGAAAATTAAAGCCTCTTTTATAATAGTATTATTTTGCATAGGTATATATATAATATATAGATTGAGCCATTTCACATTTCATGGTGTTTGCATGTTAGTAACTTGGTTCAATTTGTATGTTGTTATCATTTTTTAATATTTTGCCCTTCTTTTAGGTAGTTTTAGTTTAAATAGATGCGGCTTGTATTTGTTTGAAGAGAGGTGAAATGAATCCCTTCGTTCCCTGTCATCTGATTGAAGCTTCTACAAGTGATTCGTCGCAAGCGTTCCAATCCAGCATCAAGAACATGCATAAGCATGTTTTTTTATTTTTCTAGGTTTCTAGCACATGCAGCAGTCAGACAGGCTATGAGATCGCAAGAGGCATGCCGAACGGGAGAAGACGGCATGAGGGAGGAGATCATGTGAGAGTTTGAGCTAGGCATAGACATGCTCGTGGGATCGGAAGAAGTGCCATGACTTCGCAGTAGGCGCAAGTTCAAGCGAAAAGGTGGAGGAGCAAGTGACCGTCTGATGGTTGACTTTTCTTGGACTGTTCTTTGTGAACAATAGGTAAAGGAGAAGTGGCAATCGAAGGGAAGATTTTTCTTGAGTTTTGCTTTGTGGATAGCAATTGTTTTTTTAGATTTATAAAATTGAATCAATGTGGAAATTGTTAGTAATTAGATCTAATTTGTATGTTTTTATAAGTTTTACTGTTTTGCCCTTCCTTTATGTCATTTTAGTTTAAATAGAGGTAGCTGTATTTATTTGAAGAGAGGTGAAACGAATTTGGACACCGGACGTAATAATTTTCCCCATAATAAGCCTGAAATTTTTTGAATCGGGTCGACCTATTTAGCATACGCATTCGGACTCAAAAACACGAAAATGACCCGAATTAAATCTGAATATTAATAGAGTTAGGGTTTAGGGCAGCCCGCTCGCGTGCTTCAGTTTTTGTTATTCGCCTTGCCTGTTTCGCTCCGTGCCGCTGCCACCGGTCCCGTCTTCTTTCTTCGTTGAGTTGCAGGGATTGTCTTGAATCCTAAAGAAATTAGACGCAGGTCATACGACGACATATCCAGGTCTTCTTTTCTCCTCTGGAAATTCGATTGTCCTTTTTAGGGTTCAGATTTCAACGGCATATATCGACGACCGATAATTGTTTTTCATTCTTGAATTGAGATAATGGGTTGATGGCTTGGCAAGCATATTAGTAGCGGCTGGTTCTTGAGGCTGAAACGTAGGTGGTTATTGGTTCTTGAGAAGCTGGTAATGGTTGAATGATTGAATTGCAGATGGCTCATGCCTGGTTCTTATTACTATGAGTTTCCACAAAATTTTTACTTTGGAGTTTGCATGATTTTAAAATACAGGTTATTTTAAGTGGAAATCTTCCAAAAAAAAAAAAAATCTATCATTTTAATTATTTGGAAGTAATTAAGTAAATTATCTTCTAAGTTTTGTATTTTTATTTGCTAAATATTGTGTTTTCTTTGAAAAAGAAAATATAATATCATTTAACTTAATTGTATGCTTCTCTTTTAATGACGATCGCTCATCTAATGGAATTTATCCTTAAATTTGAGGAGTACATTTCTATTACAAACCCATTATTTATATCTCCACTTCAACCATCCAATAGCACAAAATTACTTTTGAAGCAATGAAAAAAGAAATGCTCAAACCGAAATGATGACGGGTGAAAAACTTATGGAGAACAGTGGCGAACGAGAAGGTTGAATGGCGGATCCAAATATACATCATATATATTGTATTACATGGTAGGAGTTACATATACATGTTTGTTTGGTCGGAAGGATCGTAGTCGGCAGGAGACCGGGGTTAGAAAAACCGTTGTTTGTTAATGGAGGTCGGAAGGACCATAGTAGGCGACGGAGGTCGGAAGGACCGTAGTCGGCAGGAGATCGGGGTCAGAAAGACTGTTGTCTTTTGATGGAAGTCGGATGGACCATAGTAGGCGACGGAGGTCGGAAGGACCGTAGTCGGCAGAAGACCGGGGTCAGAAAGATCGTTGTCTGTTGATGGAGGTCGGACGGACCATAGTAGGCGACGGAGGTCGGAAGGACCGTAGTCGACAGGAGACTGGGGTCAGAAGGAGACTGGGGTCAAAAAGACCGTTGTTTTGTGATGGAGGTCGGAGTGACCATAGTAGGCGACGGAGGTCGGATGGACCATAGTCGGCAGGAAACCAGGGTCTGAAAGACCGTTGTTGGCAGGAGACCGGGGTCTAAAAGATCGTTGTTGGCAGGAGACCAGGGTCTGAAAGATTGTTGTTGGCAGGAGACCTGGATCTGAAAGACCATTGTCTTGTGATGGCGGTCGGAGTGACCGTAATAGGCGACGGAGGTCGGAGGACCGTAATCAGCAGGAGACTGGGGTCAGAAAGACCGTTGTCCTCTGATGGAGGTCGGAGTGATCGTAATAGGCGACGAAGGTCGGGTGGACCGTAATCGGCAGGAGACCGGGGTCAGAAAGACCGTTGTCCTGTGATGGAGGTCGGAGTGACCGTAGTAGGCGACGGAGGTCGGATGGACCATAGTCGGCAGGAGACCAGGGTCTGAAAGACCGTTGTTGGCAGGAGACCGGGGTCTAAAAGATCGTTGTTGGCAGGAGACTAGGGTCTGAAAGACCGTTGTTGGTAGGAGACCTGGATCTGAAAGACCATTGTCTTGTGATGGAGGTTGGAGTGACCGTAATAGGCGACGGAGGTCGGAGGACCGTAATCGGCAAGAGATTGGGGTCAGAAAGATCGTTGTCCTCTGATGGAGGTCGGAGTGACCGTAATAGGCGACGAAGGTCGGGTGGACCGTAGTCGGCAGGAGACCGGGGTCCGAAAAACCGTTGTCCTGTGATGGAGGTCGGAGTAACCGTAGTAGGCGACGGAGGTCGGGTGGACCGTAGTCTGCAGGAGACCGAGGTCAGAAAGACCGTTGCTTATTGGTGGAGGTCGGAAGGATCATAGTAGGCGACGGAGGTCGGAAGGACCGTAGTCGGAAGTATTCTGAGAGAAATGTGGGCATCATGTGGTGGCCTGGTGAAGCTCAAGGCTTCAAGTAGTGGTCCGACGGAAGTCTGGGCCTCATGTGATGTTCTGGTGGAGCACACTGCCTTTGATGATGATCCGGCGAAGACAAGGGCCTCTGGAAAAGGTGAGGGCCTCTGGTGAAGGTGAAGGCCGTTGGAAAAAGTGAGGGCCTTTGGCGAAGGTGAGGGCCTCAGATGAAGACGTCAGGCCTGAACGTCGGGCCTTGAGCAGAACGTTGGGCCTTCAGCAGAACGTCGGGACTTGAGCAGAATGTCGGGCCTGAACGTCAGGCCTTGAGGTGGTGGTCTGGAAAGGCTCCGGTGGTGGTCCGGCGAGGCTCCGGCGGTAGTCCGACGAGGCTCCAGCGGTGGTCCGGCGAAGTTCCGGCAGTGGTCGAGGAGGAGCTTCTTTCTTCTCCTCTTCTCTTCTTGCTTCTTGCTTGGCCCCCTTTCAAGAGAAATGAGGGGTCTATTTATAGATTTTCTGGAGTGGCATGCCTCGTAAATAGGTGAGAGATCAAGGGTAAATGTGGAGTGGTTGGATGGACGGCCGATATTGAACCCCTTGATCATGGACCGTTTGTCAGGCATTTGGAGGCCTTAGTTATGATTTCGGAATTCGGTGATCTTGGGCTCGTTGGATTCGTCTCGTCTAGCCGCTCGATTCGACTATAAGAATGTCATTTTTGGAAACCGTTTGGTAATACAAATTATGGTTTGAACCTTCCAAATATGCTTCGGGTCTTTGATTTGGAGTCATTTCGGTTCGGATTGAGTTGAATTTGGTGTTGTTGGGTTCGTATTTTCGAGACGTTCAGTTCTACTATAAGTTTATTGAAATCGGAGTTCATATGGTCTCCGATTTAATTCTTGGAGTTTCCAACTTAATTTTATCTTGAGATTTATAAAAAAAAATCAATTTTTTTAGGGGGGGCACGTGCCCTCCATCCGCCTATGCCCAAATGGATCTGATCTGATATATATATATATATATCAATTTTTTACTAATATTAGATGTTGATCTTTTATATTTTTTCAGTTACATTTAGATTTCATTTAAAAAAAACTTTTTATTACTTATTAAAATAAAATAATTGTATCAAATTTTAAATTTTAGCTAACATTTTATTATAAAAATCAATAAAAAAAAAAGTCGCCCTAACGAAGCCTTAATGTCAAAATTGAATCTTTGGCAGTCCGTTTTATTATTTTACACGAAAATCGTGAGGCCATGTGCTTAATAAACAAATTGGTCTGGATGAAGAACAAAGACACGTGCCTAAATAGTCTTCGAACGTAACCGCACACGTAAGAGGCATGATATTTTGGACCGCAGATTATTAAATATTTTTAATTATTATAAAAAAATCTTAAAGCGCGCCTCCTCAACGATAAGGCTACTCCTATATATGGGCAACTCCTCCCCCGTTATTATTATTCATCAATCAAATTCGCTCCTTGTTTGGCAAAATCTTATCTTTCTGTCATCTTCCTTCTCGATCCATTCAGTCATGGAAGCCATTAACATCTTCACCTGCTTAGCTCTCTTCCTTTCCCTCCTGCTGCTACCCAAAGTACTCTTCATGACCAAAACGGACAAGCAGAAGAAGAAGAATCTCCCTCCAAGTCCACCTAATTCCCTTCCGATCCTCGGCCACCTCCACCTCATCAAGAAACCGCTCCACCAATCCCTGGCCCAACTCTCGGCCCGACACGGCCAGATTCTCCTCTGCCGCTTCGGCATCCGCCCCGTCCTCGTCGTCTCCTCCGCCTCCCTCGCCGAAGAATGTTTCACCACAAATGACCTCTCTTTCGCCAACCGCCCCAAGTTTCCTTCCACCCGCCTTTTGACGTACAACCACACCAGCCTTGGATCCGCCCCCTACGGCCCCCATTGGCGCGATATGCGCCGCATAGCCACCATCGAAGTCCTTTCGGGCCACCGCCTCTCCTTCTTCTCCGATGTCCGGGCCGACGAGGCCCGAGCTCTAGCCCATCGGCTCTTTCTTGACACCAAAAATCAGGTGGATTTCACGAGAGTTGAGCTAAGGTCGCGGCTTTTCGGACTGGCGATGAACGTGATGATGAAGATGATGGTTGGAAAGCGTTACTACGGAGAGGAATCCGGGGACGACGAGGCGCGGCGGTTCAGGGAGTTAGTTGAAGAGTCCTTCACCCTCGCCGGCGCTTCCAATGTTGGAGACTTCCTTCCTTCAATGGTCGGGTGGTTTACACGGCGAAGAGTGCAGAGTAGAATGGCTCATATACACAATTACAGGGACAAGTTTATGCAGGCCCTTGTAGAGGAGCGTAGGAGGAAGATAAACAAGGAAGAACAAGAAAAAGAAGCAGGCGAGTTTGCAGAGGAAGATCAGAGGAACCATAAAACGATGATAGATGCTATCTTATCGCTCCAAAGAACCCATCCTGAGCAATACGATGATTCTTTCATAAAATCTCTTGTAACGGTATCTAATTAGATCTAAAGCTCTCCCCTTTCCTCTTCATTTTTCTCTTAATTTATTAACAATCTTTTCTCTCTCTCTCTTGCAGACATTGCTATCAGCAGGAACAGATACTTCATCAAACACTATAGAATGGGCGATGTCTCTCTTACTAAACAATCCCGAGAAGCTCGAGAAGGTTAGGGAAGAAATTGATGAGAAAGTAGAGAAAGGTCGTCTTCTCGATGAATCAGATCTCGCCAAGCTTCCATATCTCCACAGTGTCATCAACGAGACGCTTCGACTGTATCCTGTAGGTCCTCTTCTTGTTCCTCATGAGTCATTAGAAGAATGCAAGGTGGGAGGCTACAATATACCAAGTGGTACAATGCTTTTGGTGAATGCTTATGCGATTCAGAGGGATCCTGCAATATGGCCGGAGCCGACTAAGTTTCTTCCTGAAAGATTTCTGGAGAATAGCAAAGTAGAAGGGGGGAAGATGCTTCCATTTGGGATGGGGAGAAGAAGATGTCCAGGTGAAGGACTTGCCATGAGAGAGGTGGGATTGGTTTTGGGTACTTTGCTTCAGTGTTTCGAGTGGAGAAGAATTGGAGCAGAGGAGCTGGAGATGAAGGAAGGTTCGGGCCTCACAATGCCGCGAGCAAATCCTCTGGAAGCCTTGTGCAGGCCACGCGAAGCCATGATTTCTACACTGTGTAAGCTTTAGAATGCTCAATTATACTTGGGAGAATGAAAGATTAGTTGGGTGTATTGGCCAGCCTTTTAAATGAATATCCAAATAAATAATGTGATTTTTTCATGTTCATTTTTAATGTATGAATTTAATTTTGAGTTTTTAGAGGAGTAAAATGTAAGAATGTTTGGGGGCTTGAATTTGTGCTTAAAGCTCGTTATTTTGGGGAGCTTTGCAACTATCTTATTATTATTAGTTAAAAAATAGTTTTTTTAGTAAAAAATTAATTTTTTATTAAAAAAATGTTTTAAGAAGCAGTAAGAAAATCAACCCAAATGAAACCTAAGTCTTAAGAGAGATGAGTGAAGCCATGGCAACAGTGTACATATTATAAAGAAAAAAAATTTCATATTGGAAGAATAAATTGTGCTACTTTCAGGGAAAGAGAGGCAAAGACTGCATAATTAGGGATTGATTTGAAAATATAAAGATTTTGGAAGGTAAGTATTCTTTTAAGAAATGAGGTGTAACCTTTTAACACTAATGTTGTCATGGGACAAAAATTTTGTACAAAGCTTATTAATAAACTTGCAGCACTCATTAGGAAGAATAGAACCCCTAATCTAATAGGTTATAGAGCTCCATATTGTAAATTGAATGTATTGGAGTCTGCCTACAAAAGAGAGCAATTTGGCCTTCCAACCTTCTAGTCGATTTGTAATTTTTTGCATGAGAGGAATAAGGAAATATGAGATTTGAATTATCTTAATAGAGATATGAATGCCCAGATAAGTCATGCCATAGCCAACCATAGGAATATTTAGCATATTAGCAATTTCTGAAACATTTAATAAAAAAGGGGAGGTGATGACAAAGTTCTTACCCTAAATCACCTGTAAACCACCCAGAGAAAGACGCAAATTTGTTAAAACAATTATGAAGAATGGGTGCATTATGAGTAGTGGTTTTGCCAAAAACTAATATATCATATGCAAGAAGGAGGTGAGAGATAGAAATATCACCAATATTGATACCTTCCAAAATATTCTCATCATAGCCAGCATCAAACATAAATGAAAAGATATCCATAATGATACAAAATAAATAAGGGGATAGGGGACATCCCTAGTGGATACCCAAAGAGGAATTAAAGAAAGTTTAAAGCTCACCATTTATGCATATAGAAAAATATACCTCATCAATACTATCATTTGTCCATGCACTTTATGAACAACTCTGAAAAACCTTTATGAAGGAGTCTTTGGAGCAAAAAATTTCTAGAAATCTAATTAAAGCTTTAAATATGTCAAACTTTGTACAAAATGAAAAAAAAAAATTAAAAAAAAAACTTTGTACAAAATAAAATTATATAACCCAATTCATAAAAATCCTTGTGAATTTTAAAAGCTAAATGAATGTTATCAAAGCTAATCCTCTTCTTAATGAATCTTGATTAATATTCATTAATAATATGGGGCATTATAGGTTCAAGGCTTTGAGCTAAAATCTTAGCAATGATTTATAAAAATAACTATAAAGTTAGATGGGTATGTAATTTGATATAAGGTTTGCATTGCAAGATTAAGAGATCAAGGCAATAACTATAGCTTTAGCCCTCTTAGGCATTTTGCAATGATTGAAGAAGTACTTAACAATGCAAACTTGATGCCCAATGATATGCTAATAGCTTTTGCAAAAAGGTGAAACTGTTTGGGCCAGGGGTAGAACAACTAGGAGTAGAAAAAAAATATTAGCCTTAATCTCGTCATCAGTTATTGGAATGGTTAGGTAGGTTAATAAGTGAGCAGGGATAACTTTACCATAAGGAATTGGCTTCAGGCCATTAGTTGAGGGGTGGCGTATTGAAAATAGTATGAACAATGGGTTGGACAAGTCACCCAAAGTATGAGGTGAGGAATTGACAATACTAATGTGCTTGATTCGATTATAGTTATGCCTGATTTTCTCTAACATAGAGAAATTTTCAATCATCTTCATCGTGAGAGAGCCAACGTACTTTTGACCTTTGAATGATCCAGGAGGCCTTGGAAGAGGAGACAACATCAATATGACCATTAATATCGTTAAGGTTAGTGTTAAAGCTAAATTTAAGGGATCCCTTCCTAGAAGTTGGAGGCAAAAGTGTTAGACAAATTCAGCCATTTGTATTTTACATTTTATTAATTCGTTTTACACTTTTACTTTACACGTGTAGTACCGGTACTGGCTCCCTTTTTTAAAGCCTACCGATAGCTGTCTATATATACAGACACTGTACTTTGGTAATTAATGAGAATTCTATTTTTCGTTTCTTTCTTCGTCTTCTTCCTCCGTCCCGTACCAGCTCTTTCCTTCGCTCATTTCAAGCTTTCAAAAAGGACTGTTGTTGGAGAAGAACTCAGAGAGAGGTATCAAGAAAAGTGGAAGAGGCCCAAAACTTAGATTTTATAAGGTTTTTAAGGGATTGCAAATTTAGGTAAAGAGAAAAAATAGGGTTTGCAGTGTGGTTTTGGGAAAATGCAATCAAGAAAAAAATCTCAAAAGTTATTATTTTTGGTCCAATAGTTCTTAAAAAGAAACAAGTGGTTTTGGGGTATGGTGGTAATAAAGAGAATAAAGAGGGAGTGGTTAGACATTCTTGGCTTATCAATTTTATATTAGAAGGTGGGCAATTTCTCATCAACCAAAATCCTATCCAATTTAATTTGAATAAGGAAGTCAGCCAATTGATTAAACAAAATAAACTAGCTACCAACATAAGCCAAATCCTGAATTCTAACCTCAAAAATCATGTTGTTAATGATATTTCCACCAACTTTTTCTTGAGGAAACCTGATACAGTTAAAGTCCCCAAGGTACTTAATCTTGGCTTCCATAATACAAATCAGGTTAAGACTATGAGAGCGGGATAATTCTTTACAACTAAAAACTTTATCAGGATTGTAAAAGCCCCGAATGTTCTAGGATTCTATGTTAGGGGGTTTCATTGAGATTTATTTGATTGGGGTGTACCTTTTATGAAATTTTTGAAACCGATAGATTTAGGCATTTACGGGAAAATAATGTAGGTAATCAAAACCTCTTGCATATATGAGTCGTCAACATTCTGCGAGAAGTTAAATTTATTATGAGATAGATTGAATAGGCCTGTGGGTGGTTTTGGAGGGAACTCATCAACTATTGTAGGAGATAGAATTTGTGCCTATACTTTATAATCATGTCTTCTACAATTAAGAGAAATTATAGACATCTATAATTTTGCTTATATCATGAATTATTTCAACTTGTTCAAATCTTATGATTTTTTCCCTTCCTAAAATTTTTCCATAAAATTTTAAGTATTTCATCATAAAATAAAATATAAATTATCTATATCATTGAACCTTAAAAAAATTTCCGCAAACAACCTTTATGCATCAAGTGATATAAAATTAATATTTATAATATCCTTCATAAATACTTTTCGTATAAAACTTTTATAAATACATTTCGTATAAAACGTCGCCTACATTAATTAGCGAAATTATTATGCAGAGGTGATGTCTGATTCAAGGTGAATTATTACGTCCGGACGTCCGGACATCCAATTCAGATGTGCCACGTCACTCAAATACATCAGGATCATGTGCATTTTGGTGCCTTGAGGAATCTGAATGGATAATTTGCCCTGATTCAGAGTGTGATGAGCTGAAACCAAACGGAACCATTCATAAATTGTCAACACGTAGCAATCTCTCAACAACTTTTGCAAAAGTTGCTCCAAAAGTCAACTTTATCACATGTGACTAATTATTGAATTCACCATTCAATAATTGATCATCAAAATTTCTATAAAATCGATTAATCGTAATCGCTTCTGCGGCGAAATTTCCGCCATGGACGCCGTCCCCATCTTCACCTGCTTAGCTCTGCTCCTTTTCTTCTTCCTCATAGCCAAACTCTTAATAGCCAACAAGAAGAAGAAGAAGCAGAATCTCCCTCCGAGCCCTCCTGATTCCCGTTTCATCCTCGGCCACCTCCACCTCCTCAAGAAACCCCTCCACCAATCCCTTGCCCGTATCTCGGCGCGACACGGCCCGATTCTCCTGCTCCGCTTCGGCATCCGCCCCGTCCTCGTCGTCTCCTCCGCCTCCCTCGCCGACGAATGTTTCACCACCAACGACCTCCCCTTCGCCAACCGCCCCAAATTTCCCTCCACACGACTTTCCACCTACAACCACTCGGGCATGGGATCCGCCCCCTACGGCCCCCAGTGGCGCGATATGCGCCGCATAGCCACCATCGAAATCCTTTCGGGTCACCGCCTCGCCTTCTTTTCCGATGTTCGGGCCGCCGAGGTCCGAACCCTGACCCGGCGACTCTTTCATGATTGCACTGATGATAAGGATTTCACCAGGGTGGAGCTCAGGTCGCGGCTTTTCGGTCTGGCCATGAACGTGATGATGAAGATGATGGCCGGGAAGCGATACTACGGTGAAGAGTCCGATGACGGCGAGGCGCAGCGGTTCAGGGAGATAGTGCAAGAGGGTTTCACCCTCGCCGGTGTTTCCAATATCGGAGACTTCCTTCCTTCAGTACTTGGGTGGTTTGCACGGCGCAGAGTGCAGAGTAGACTAGCTAAGATTCACAGTTACAGGGACAAGTTCATGCAGGCTCTTGTAGAGGAGCATAGAAGGAAAATAAAGAAGGAAGAAGAAGAAAAAGAAACAGATCAGAGGAACCATAAAACGATGATTGATGCTCTCTTATCGCTCCAACGAACCAATCCCCAATACGATGATCGTTTCATCAAATCTCTTGTTACGGTATCTTCGATCTAAAACTTTGCCCTTTCTCTTCTCTTTTTTTCTTAATTAACGCATTCCTTATATCTCTTATCTTGCAGACATTGCTAACAGCAGGAACAGATACTTCATCAAACACTATTGAATGGGCGATGTCTCTCCTGCTAAACAATCCCGAGAAACTCGGCAAGGTCAGAGAAGAGATTGATGAGAAAGTAGAGCAAGGTCGTCTGCTCAATGAATCAGATCTCGAGAAGCTTCCATATCTCCACTGCGTCATCAACGAGACGCTTCGACTGTATCCTGTAGGTCCTCTTCTAGCACCGCATGAGTCATTAGAAGACTGCAAGGTGGGAGGCTACAATATACCGAGCAGAACGATGCTTTTGGTGAATGCTTATGTGATTCAGAGAGATCCGACGATATGGCCGGAGCCGACGAAGTTTTTACCTGAGAGATTTCTTGAGAATAACAAAGTGGAAGGGGGGAAGATGATTCCATTTGGGATGGGAAGAAGAAGATGTCCAGGTGAAGGACTTGCCATGAGAGAGGTGGGCTTGGTTTTGGGTACTTTGCTTCAGTGTTTCGAATGGAGAAGAATTGGAACCGAAGAGGTGGAGATGAAGGAAGGTTCGGGCCTCACAATGCCGCGAGCAAATCCTCTGGAAGCCCTGTGCAGGCCACGCGAAGCCATGTTTTCTACTTTGGCTCAGCTTTAGAATACTCAAAAGTTAGAACTTAGAACTAAATATATATATATATATATATATGGAGACGAGGAAACACTGTCCATAGGCCAGTTAAAATCTGGATCGAACTAGCGGGCAACCCGCACCAATTTACCCGAGCCGACGATTAAGGCTTACACTGCCGTCCAGGGGATTCGAACCAGGCACCTGAGCTTTGCCTAGCCAGTTCTCCACCACACTTACTAAACAGCGGTGGGTAGAACTATATATACTTGCTCTGTGATTTGTGAGCATATTAATAATTAAAGGCAAATTTATTAAAAAAAGTAGGTTTTTAATTTAATTAACCTGAAGAAGCATGTTTAAGAAATAATATAAAAAGGAGAAAATACCTTACACAAATTTTCACTTTAAAAATTAGTAAAAACGTTTTTGGGTTTCTTAGAATGTGGAAAACAATTTTATGATAATTTTTTTGAAATTTTACATATAAGTCATTATTACACATGTTGAATAAAAATTTTATGTAACAACTTACATTTAAAATTTATGTATTAAAACTAACGTTTTTTATTATTAAATATATGTAATAAGTACTATATTATATTTGGAAATTAAAAAATGAGTTATAAATGGCTTATATGAATGATTAATTATTATTTAAATTTATGTAATAAGTAATATATAATAGTAATGTTTAAATAAAATTATATAAATTTATCCTTATTTTTGTAGAACAATCTAATAATGGTGAATATAATTAATATTTAAAATTTTAAATAGCCATTATAACATACAAACGCATTCACGTACACTTTGAAATTACATTATTGTTTGATTGAAGCTTATATCTTTATAGATCATATGATATAATAGGTTGTTGTAACTGACCACATGATATCAATGAATAAGGATACTGATACATCATACAAAAATTATCTTGATATGGCACTAATCTCAAAGCAAAATCAAGTTGGAAAGTTCCGAAATCAAAATCAGGAGCATCTCAACTCCATTTTCAGCAAACTTATAGTCGAACTGAGCGTCTCGGAAATACGAACCCAACGACACCAAATTCGACCCAATTTGAGCCCAAATGGATCCAAATCAAGGACCCAAAGCGCTGTTGGAAGGTTCAAACCACAATTTGGATTACCAAACAGATTCCAAACATAACAAGCTTTTAATCAAATCGAGCGGCTCGACGAGACGAATCCAACGATCCCAAGATCATTGAATTCCGACATCACTACGACATTCAAACGTCAATCGAACGGTTCATGATCAAGGGATTCAAGATCGGCCGTCTAACCAACCACTCCCAACTAACCCTTGATCCTCCACCTATTTAAAGGTCATGCCATTCCCAAAATTTATAAATAGAGCCCCCTCTCCTCTTGAAAAGGGACCCCCAGAGCCTAAGGAAAAAAGAGAGAGATCAGATATCGCTCTTGCTTCCTAGCCTCCTCGACCACCGCCGAAGTCTCGCCGGACCACCGCCGATCCACCGCCGGAGTCTCGCCGAACCACCGCCTAACACCTTGTGCTCCACCGGACCACCATCTAACGCTGTTGCTCCGCCGAACCACCGCCTGACGCCCTGTGCTCCACCGGACCACCGTCTAACATCGTTGCTCCGCCGAACCACCGCCTGACGCCTTGTGCTCTACCGGACCACCGTATAACGTCGTTGCTCCGCCAAACCACCGCATAACGCCGTTGCTCCGCCGAATCACCTCCTGACACCGTGTGCTCCACCGGACCACCATCTAACGCTGTTGCTCCGCCGGACCATCATCTGATACCCTCATCTTCGTCGGACGCCCTACGTTCCGCCAAACCTTCACTTGAAGTTCTCATCTTTGCCATGCCATTGTCGAAGACTTTCATCTTTACCAGATCATCATCTAAGGCCCGGAGTTCTGCCTGATCATCATCTAAGGCCCGAAGTCCTGCCAGACCATTACTCGACACTCGGACTTCTATTGTACAATTGCTACTTGTAATCTGATCGTCCTTAGAGACGAGTCAGCCCATTATAATTAACTCAAGTTCTAGTGAAATCTTTTTCAACTAGGCTAGGCCCCGTGGTTTTTCCCCTTTCAAGGATTTTCCACGTAAAAAATCTTGTGTTCTCTGTGTGTGAGCTAGATATCCGTATAATGCTAAGACGAACGATTAAAACTCTATCGCCGCGTATATTCTAGTCCATAACATATACAAAATTAAAAGGATTGTTGCGGGCTAGAATAGACGTGATGATAGAGTTTTAATCGTTCGTCTTAGCGTTGTACGGATATCCAACTGAGCAACGACGTTAGACGGTGGTCGGCGGAGCACAGGGCGTCAGGTGGTGGTCCAGCGGAGCAACCGCGTTAGGCGGTGGTTTGGCGGAGCATAGGGCGTCAGGTGATGGTCCGGCGGAGCAACGACGTTAGGCGGTGGTGGTCCGGCGTTGGTGGAGCAGCAGTGGTTCGTCGGAACTTCGGCGGTGGTCCAGCGAAACTCAGGCGGTGATCTGAGGCAAGGAAGCAAGAGCGATCTCTGATTTCTCTCTTTCTTCCTTAGGCTTAGGGGTCCCTTTTCAAGAGGAGAGGGAGCTCTATTTATAGATTTTGGGAATGGCATGGCCTGTAAATAGGTGGAGGATCAAGGGTAAGTTGGGAGTGGTTGGATAGATGGCCGATCTTGAATCTCTTGATCAAGAACCGTTTGATGGACATTTGAATGTCTTAGTGATGTCGGAATTTAGTGATCTTAGGCTCGTTGGATTCGTCTCGTCGAGCCGCTCGATTCAACTATAAGTTTGTTATGTTCCAAATTGCAGTTTGAACCTTGGGTCCTTGATTTAGACCCATTTGGGCTCGGATTGGATTGAATTTGGTGTCGTTGGGTTCGTATTTCTGAGACGCTCAGTTCGACTATAAGTTTGCTGAAATCGGAGTTCGGATGATCTTGATTTTAATTTTGAAAGTTTCCAACTTGATTTTGCTTTGAGATTCGTGCCCGATCAAGATAATTTTTGGACGATGTATCAAGGATCATATGCTCTATTGACACATAATCCTATTCCTTCAAGCAATTATTATGAACATTTTTTTTTTAAAATAATTTATTATTGTTAAAAAATGAGTTTCATAATAAAAATATTTGAATTAAAGTTATTAGTTATTTCTTATGACACTCATTTTTTCAAATAATAATAATAAATTCAATTTATTTAACATTTTTTAATAATATGATTAACAGCAATTTATATTTTATTTTAAAATATAAGCACACCATTATTTAATAATTCATTAAAATAATTATAACTAATTCAAAAAATTTCAAAGCCCTACAAACTTTCATGAAATTAATAATATGAAGAATTATAACGGTTTAATTAAAAATTTTAGGCAACTAACTCGGCTTATTGGAAATCGGAAAATTGTTTACGGTTTCTATAAATTAGAATAAAGTTTTCCAATTTATTAGATATTGGAATTCAACGCCTTTTTTTTTTTCACCAGCGAGAGTGCATTTGGCGGCTTCACTAATCTTCGGCTGATTTAGAAGAGACACTCATTGCAAAAAATCTCCTGACCCGTACTTCATTGAGCCCACTTAAGAGGTGAGGCTGATTTAGAAGAATCAAGCACGAATTGAGGGTTCCCAACCTTACTTATCCATTAACCAAACTAAATAATGGTGGGTCCTACACTATTTTTAAAAAATAAAAAAATACCCGTGTCAGTTGACTATGGATGCGCTACTCAAAGATAATTTTTAATTAATAACAACTAAGGGGCAATATAGTACATACAACCACGTGGCATCCACGAGATAAGTCGGTTAAAATAAACAAATGCATGGCATTGGGCTTAGCTGATTTGGTGGGCCAGTGTAGTTGGGAACCCTCAGCTCATGTTCGATTTCTCTCTCATGCGGCGCGACTCGTCTGGGGAAAAAATAATTGTATGGCCTTTTACTAGGTCCGGTGTCCTGACGTCGCTCTACGTTCGGACGCCAGTAAAATAGTGCCACGTGCTCTTAATCTTTACTGCGCGGCCTGACGACCCAACCCGGATCGGACCCGGGAATGCTATGTATTGGCTGATTTGTGCAAACCGGGGTATTGCTCGATATTGCTCGGCAATAACGAGAAATATCATTATGTCAAGACCAATACTTAGCAATACTGAGCAATACCCTGATTTTACTAGGTATTGCTCGGTATTGCTAAGTATTGCTTGGTATTGGTCTTGACAAAGCGGTATTTCTCATTATTGTCAAGCAATACCTAGCAATATCTAATAATACCGAGCAATACTCAAACATAGCAATACCGGGTTCCAGTCCAGGTCGGGTCGTCGGGCCGCACGGTAAAGATTAAGAGCATGTGGCGACATGTTATGGGCTTCCGGATGTAGAGCTACATCCGGTGTCCTGACCTAATAATTGTTCATGCCCTTGTGGGTCTACTTACTAGTAAGCATACCGAGGGATTAGTTACGCCATCAAACATACCCTTTAGGTGAGGCAGCGGTTATTGTTATGCTCATTTTCCTTTAAAATATAAATTTTTATTATGTTTTATTAGAAAATGATATTACTGTTAATACGATCTTTTTAAAATTAATTTTTTTCGCTAACACAATTAAAAAAATTATCCTTTTAAAAATGTCAACGGATGGATATGAGAGGGATAGACATGTAATAAAAATAGTTGTATGTTGATATAATATTTAGTAGGATATTTTATAAAACTGATCAGAATAATTAAAAAAATTATATGTATTTTAAAATGGATGCAAACGCGTTTGGTTTAGTGTTCTTTTAATTCATATTTAAGACTGAATATGTTTTACTGCCGAAGGCAAATCTGCTTCTGGTGCATCTGCAATGGAAATCATCGCGCTGTTACTGTCCATACCTTTCTTCTTCTTCGTACTCCTCATCTCCGCCCTCCGCCGGCGACACAGAAACAGTCCGCCAAGCCCTCCCTCGCTCCCCCTCCTCGGCCACCTCCACCTCCTCAAGAAACCCCTCCACCAATCCCTCGCCTCCCTCTCTGCTCGCCATGGCCCCATAGTCTACCTCCGCTTCGGCTCCCGCCCCGTCCTCCTAGTCTCCTCAGCCTCCGCCGCCGAATCCTGCTTCTCCAAGAACGACGCCGTGTTCGCCAACCGCCCCCGATTCCTCGCCGGAAAGCACCTTGGCTATAACTACTCTACTCTAGTCTGGGCTTCCAACGGCTCCCATTGGCGAAACCTCCGCCGCGTCACCGTCATGGAGATCTTGTCCGCCTCGCGCATCCACTCTATCTCCGATCTCATCTTAGAAGAAATTGCCGCGATGGTAAAAGCGGTGGCCGCGCCCGCCCGGAGCGGCAGTTTTATCGAGATGCGGCCAAGATTGTTCGAACTGAATTTTAATTTGATGATGAAAATGGTTGCGGGGAAGAGATTGAACCAGATGGAGGAGTTTCGACAGATTGTTAGGGAAACTTTTGAAGTGAGCGGAGCATCAAATTTGGGGGATTTCATCCCTTTATTGCGTTTGTTTGATTATCAAGGATTGGAGAAGAAGCTGATTAGGTTGCAGCGTAGAAGGAACTCTTTCTTGCAGGAATTGATTGATGAGCGCAGGAGAGAAATTGAGAGCTGGAGAAATTCATCATCAGCTTTTGATGGCGAAGAAGGAAGATATCGAGATGAAAGAGGGAGAAAATGCTTAATTGATAATTTGCTTTCTCTGCAAAAAACTTCTCAGGAGCAGTATTCGGACGAAATTATCAAAGGAATCGTGGTGGTAAGCCCTAGCTAACTTGTGCGCTTGATTTATTCGAAATTGAAAGTACAATTTCATTGCATACAAAATACTAAATACCAATTATTTCTTCAGGTCCTTCTATCTGCCGGCACAGATACGTCTGCCCTAACGACAGAATGGGCGCTCGCTCTGCTCCTACGCAACCCAACAGCTCTCTCCAAAACCCGCGCCGAGCTCGACCTCCATATCGGCAATAACCGCCTTATAAACGAAACAGATCTCCCCAATCTCTCTTACCTCCGCTGCGTCATCAAAGAGGCCCTTCGCCTTCACCCCGTAGCGCCGTTGATCCCCGCACACGAGTCCAATGAAGATTGCACCGTGGAGGGATTTCAAGTGCCAAAAGGCGTCATGTTACTGGTGAACGCGTGGGCGATTCACAGAGACCCGTCGCTGTGGGTGGAGCCGGAGGAGTTCAGGCCGGAGAGATGGGAAGGAGAAGAAGAGAACGGAGAGGTAACCAGGAAGCAGGGGAAGGTGTTGTTCTTTGGGATGGGGAGGAGAGGGTGTCCCGGAGAAGGATTAGCTCTGCGTGTTGTGGGGTTGGCTTTGGGTGCTTTGGTTCAGTGCTTTGAGTGGGGTTCCGATGAAGTTGGTGGGGCGGCGGTTGATCTTACGGAAGGGAGTGGGCTTTCAATGCCAATGGCGACGCCATTGAGAGTCTTCTGCAAGAAGCGAGATGCTATGGATCGAACTTTCTTTGCATGTTGAAGAAGTTTCTCCATCTTTCAATAATTGCTTTTGCATTTACTTGATTTTTGTAGTTCAGTATTTATAGTTGGACAAAGGCAATGTGCAGAGCACATTTATAAAGCTGTTATTTGTCTTCAAATATAAGGTGGTTTGATCAAATATTTTCCTATTTAAGTAGGATTACATCAAGTATCAATTACAAGATCATATTTTTTTGCTTTAGCCAGGGATTTTTTTTATATATTTAGGTCAATTAAATCGGCAAATTATTACGTCCAGTGTCCGGATTGGTACGGGCACTAATCCAGACCCGCCACATCACCCAAATACATCGGGCCCCAGTGTATTTTGGTGATGTGGCGCGTCTGGATTGGATGTTCGGACGTCCGGTGACCAGACGTAATAATTCGCCATTAAATCAGGCTCACACACCATTGCATATACAAAGACTCAAATCTAAGATCTCTTAATTGGCAGTTTAAGCTCCCAACCAATAGGCCAATGTGAGATGCATATGTCAGAGATGTTCTCACTAGACATTTGCAAGAGATTGTACTGTGATGTATGTTTTTTTTACGGAAGAGATTCTTCTTCTTGATAAGACCAGAGATGGAGTTGAAGGTAAACTTAAATTATGCGGTCAACTTTAGAGTCTAAAAGTTTTCATTAGAGTATACCTAAGACTGAATATATGGAGTGTAATTTTAATGAAATAAGTAAAAGAAGCTTAATATTAGTATAATTTAAATAGAGTAAATAGTAAATTATATTAAATTGATATTACATTAAATTGATTTTACTTCTTCTCACTTTTATTTGGTTTTTTCAGTATTTTTTAATTATAACTTATTAGTATAGCTTTTTTTTAATATTCAAGAAATATAATGTTATAAAATAAATTATTAGAAATTTGTAAAAATAAATTTAATAATAATATCTATAAAATATAATCTCCATTTTTGTCTTCTTAAAAAATGTAAATTAAATTTATGTATTTGCTCCTATTTAAATTATATGTATATTACACTGCTTTTATTTATTTTAATTATGAATATGCTCCTAGTAAAACTTTCACCTACAAATTATATCAAAATGTAGTTAAAAATTATTATATTTTTCTTAAGATTAGTATTACATAAAAAATTTATATTAGCTAATCTCAAAATAATTTTTAAATTTAATATCTATTATAATATAAATTATATTATTTAATGCTATATAAATTAATATTTAAGTGAAATATATTTCAGTAAAAAAAAATATTCTTCAGTATTCGTCCAATGGAAGTCATTGCTCTGTATCTCTTCGTTCCTCTTCTCTTCTTCTTCCTCCTCTCCGCCCTCCGCCGCCGCCAGAAATACTCTCCACCAAGCCCTCCCTCACTCCCTCTCCTCGGCCACCTCCACCTTCTCAATAAACCCCTCCACCAATCCCTCGCCTCCCTCTCTGCGCGCCACGGCCACATACTCTCCCTTCGCTTCGGCTCCCGCCCCGTCATCCTGGTCTCCTCCGCTTCCGCCGCCGAATCCTGCTTCTCCAAGAACGACGCCATCTTCGCCAATCGCCCCCGATTCCTCGCTGGAAAGCATCTCGGCTATAACTACTCCACACTGGCATGGGCCTCTTACGGCCCCCACTGGCGCAACCTCCGCCGCATCACAACCGTGGAGATCTTCTCCCCCTCCCGCCTTCACTCCATCTCCGATCTCATCTTTCAAGAAGTCGCCGCGATGGTAAAGGCTTTGGCCGAGGCCGCCAGAACTGGTGGGGTTATCGAGATGCGGCCGAGATTGTTCGAACTGAATTTGAATTTGATGATGAAGATAGTTGCCGGAAAGAAATTCAATCAGACAGAGGTGTTCCGGCAGATCGTAAGGGAAACTTTTGAATTGAGCGGGGCTACAAATTTCGGGGATTTTATTCCGTTGCTGCGTTTGTTTGATTATAAAGGATTGGAGAAGAAGCTGATTAGGTTGCAGGGTAGAAGGAATTCTTTCTTGCAGGAATTGATTGATGAGCGCAGGAGAGATTCAGCATATTCATTTGATAATGAAGCTGAAAGAGATCGGGAAGAAAAGGGGAGGAAATGCTTGATTGATAGTTTGCTTTCTCTGCAAAAAACTTCTCCGGAGCAGTATTCGGACGAAATTATCAAAGGAATCGTGGTGGTAAGCCATAGCTGACTTGTGTGCTTGATTTATTTGAAATTGAAAGTATAAATTCACTGCATAAAAAATAATAATAAATACCAATTCTTTCTTCAGGTTCTTCTATCTGCCGGCACAGATACGTCTGCCCTAACGACAGAATGGGCGCTCGCTCTGCTCCTACGCAACCCAACAGCTCTCTCCAAAACCCGCGCCGAGCTCGACCGCCATATCGGCAATAACCGCCTTATAAACGAAGCAGATCTCCCCAATCTCCCTTACCTCCGCTGCGTCATCAAAGAGACCCTTCGCCTCCACCCCGTAGTGCCGCTCATCCCGGCACGGGAGTCCAGCGAAGATTGCGCCGTCGAGGGATTTCACGTGCCAAAAGGCGCCATGTTACTCGTCAACGCGTGGGCGATTCACAGAGACCCGTCGCTGTGGGAGGAGCCCGAGAACTTCAAGCCGGAGAGATGGGAAGGAGAAGAAGAAGAAGGAGAGATGAGCAGGAAGCAGGGGAAGGTGTTGTCCTTCGGGATGGGGAGGAGAGGGTGTCCTGGAGAAGGATTAGGTCTCCGAAGTGTGGGGTTGGCTTTAGGAGCGTTGGTTCAGTGCTTTGAGTGGGACTCCGATGGAGGTGGTGGTGGGGAGGTGGATCTTACGGAAGGGAGTGGACTTACAATGCCAATGGCGACGCCATTGACAGCCTTCTGCAAGAAGCGGGGCGATATGAATCGAACTGTGTTTGCCTGTTAAGAAACTTTTAGGAGAGAATTGAATAGGTTCTCTTATTATCATGCATGATATTTTAGCTTGGTGTAACTTATGCTTATAAGGCTTATTTAATTCAAGCTTCGTTTGGAATGTTCTACAAAAAAGTGATCCATGGCCAGGATTCTTTACTATGGGTGTCAATTTGGATCAATGAGTTTGATTCATGTCAAACGCAACTTGACCCAACTATAAACGGGTTGACTCTAACCCGACCCAATTTTGCAAACAGGCCAATTTTGTCAACTCAGACCTAACATGTGCGATTTACTGGATTGACACGACCCAACCCGTGAGCAACTGTGGAGCATAGCGGGTCCGCTGAGTCTGGAGGAGTGGAGGCATCGACAGTGCTGCGGCAGGCCAGCGACAACGAATGTGGCGTGTGGTATGGACAACAACAACGATAGCTCGACCGCTCTGGCAAGATGCGGACGCAACCCTGACACAGACGCGACCCGACCGACGACCCTTAACGTGACACCTATCCGACGTGCGGGATGATCAAACGGGTCAATCCGGGTTGACTTTAAGTTGTCGGATCAACCCGAACCCGACCAGTATCAAAAATTCAAACTCAGACTCAACCCGTTTCACAAACGACCTGAATCCTAATTTTTTCAGGTTCGATTTCGGGTCGTGTCAACTTTTGACACCCTAATCTTTACTGAGATGCAGATTGCTTCACATGCCACATTCTCCTTCTCAAACAGATCAAAATTACATGAAAGTTTTAAAATTATTAAAGATTTTAAGGATTCCAAGAAATATTATTGAAAAAAACATTTCAACTTCTCCACAAAAAGAATAATAGAGAAACTAATCGTATTTGCCCAGAAATCATAGTCCTGAAGCAGCAATGAAAATAATCGAGCTCCACACCATAACTCCTCCATAAATTACCTTCCAACAAATTTCCAATTACATTTTTCAAAATTCATTTTTATCAAATGTTTTCTTTCATTTATGGCTAAAAAACAAAGCAAAAGACAAAATTGTGAATGAACAAAGAAAAAGCTTTCTAAGTTCTTTTCCAACGCATCTTCATTGCATCAAATTTCCTTCTTTTATATGCTCGATGCTTGGCTGCAACTCTAAGCTTCCTCTTGGCATGGAGCATGGGGTTCATTACAGCTATCAGCTTCTGCTGGGTTCTCCTATGGTCTCTCTTCCCTTTGAGGTTCTTTCTGATCCGATTGTAGACCTGTATGAAGTTCTCAACTCCCAAAATATCTCGTACACCATCACGAACTTCTTCTGCAAGTTGCTTAATCTCATCTGTAGTGGGAAACAATGAAAATGTTAAGTACTGTCCATCGTTTCAGTTCACCACATAAAATTTAAGAAGCAGAGATTATCCTAAAGCTTGAAGTTGGCTTTTTTTTATTTTATTTTGAACTTGGTTGGCCACCAACATGGTCATTATCAGTCTCACCTCCAAATTGGGCTTTATGAATTATTTTCCATTCATTTCAGTATAGTGTTCCCTAAACAATTACCATAATTTGCCTACCAATTTCTGCACAATTTTAGTTCTATTATCTTTGGCCTACCAAATCCTTCTGCATTAGTTCTTTCTATCCAACCCCATTAATACATCTAACCTCCACACATTATCAGGGGTGGAATCAACCATAATTTTCAGGGGGGACAAACTTATAAGTAACTGTCTGTAGATATGTCGGGGATCCAAGGGGGCGCTGCCCCTGGAACAAATTTTGATTTACTATTTCTCTTTATATTTGGTTCATCATTCTCTAACAATAACACCTCTATAAAATGTTTTTAATTATACGACAATTACCTAAAGACCATAGTATTTTAAAACTTTTAGGGGGGGAAATTGCCTAAATTCTCTTATAATAAAGACTAAAAAATAGATTGAGAGAAGCAAATTGCCTAAAGAATTGTATAATTAAAAAAAAAAATTTGGGGGGGTGGGGGCGCCGGGCTCAAAGAGGTTACGCCCCTGCCCATGATGCACCAAAACTTTATAATCTCAAAGTATGCAATGTTTGACATATGCAGGATTCGACACACAACCAACACATGTAGAACGCATTATCATAGTGTTCTATAACAAAAATAATAAATAAAAAATGACATTTCATTCACCCTTGTTATAAGTTTATGAAATAATGATGATACAATGGTAGAAATGCATAATAGTTGAAAATTAATAAGAGGAGAGGCTTTCAATTTTAAAATAAATAAATTGAATATTACTCTAATAACTAATTTTTTTAGATTGTCTATTTTTAAATGTTTATTTTTTATATCTTTTGTGGAAGAGCTCAGTAAAACGAAATTCTTAGATCTCAAGTCTATTATAATGAAATCCTAAAGCTTCCTGTTCTAAAATCCCTTTCTCTCTTATAATTCTATGTTCTTTCTTTTATGATTGTGCTCCTTAGTAAGGTTTGGAGTAATCCATAGACAAATTTGGATTGAACAAGAGAACGTGTAAAATAAAGCTCAGTAAGATAAGTAGAAGACTCACCTTCGACGACCTTTCCAGCAAACCCTTCACAAGCTTTATACAATGGAAGTATTATGTAGATAGCATACTCACGGGAACCTTCCACGCCAATTTGGGAGGAGATCGTTCTTATGCAGTTAAATACAATTTTCATCTACAAACATTTCAAAAATCATTAGTTGATAACATTAAAATGTCAATAGCAAGAACAGGAAAACTTTACTGAACCTATCAACTAGTCTTGAACTCTATAGCTATAATAGATCTAAGTTGAATAAAAAATGGATGAAATGGGATAAACATTCAATCAAAATAAATTCAAAACATGCGATGTACAAACCTGAAAATTCTCTTTTTCCATTGCTATCTTTCCCAACCTCTTCAAAAGCGGTTTAACTAATAGTGACTGAAGGTCTTCATTCTCAGATGCTGTTGAAGATTGGGCCGTAACACTGGTGGAAAGCAGGAAGATCCTTTTCGCCTTTCTTGAACCGAGTAAATCAAAAGCATCAAGGTAAGAGCTTTGCTCGCAAGCAGCAAGCATCGACCATAATTTGTGCAATGGTGTCAGACTCTTATGTTTCGCAAATGAATGCAAACTGCATATTGAAAATGCAAGATTTTGAGTAATCATATTGCCACTCGCATCATCAATGACCTGTCCCTCAAGTTGCTTCAAGAAGGAAACAGCAACTGCAAATAGTCTGCTAGGATTGATAAGAAAAAGATTCTTTTGGATCATTTTCTCACTATCACCTTTGCATGCTTCAGATACAGCAGTAAAATACAAGGCCACAAGCCGACTGGAAATGTTACGCAACCCTAAATGAGGATGCAACAAAAATTTGCAGATCAATCCCCATATCTCCTGATGAAAAAAAAAAAACAATAAGATCATACTTATCATCTAATAAAATCCAGTTCTTCTATCATTTAAAGGTTAATAAGAAGAACATGCAGGTTTTACATAGCCAGTTAAGATAGAAAAAAATTGCAGTTTTAGACATTTCCCAAAGCAAGAACAGAGCAATAACCTGAGATCTCTACTTCTAAAAATTCTCTGCCACTAGAGCAGGATTTCATTTCCTTCAACCCATAGAAATTTCGGTATTATGTGTTCATGCATAGGTAGGATTTCATTTCCTTCAACCCATATTTTTCGGTATTATGCGTGCATGCATAGGTAGGTTTCCATTTCCATCAACCTCTTTTTTTTCTCTGCAATCACACGGGCATTTGTTTGTGAATGTTGAATTGTTTAGAAAAATTGGATGAAGGGAATGATTGATTATCGTTTGTGTTAGTAAAAAGGAAATGGACATTCTTCCGTGCAAACTTTAGGCACATGCCGGATTTGATTTACAAGCATAGTTTTCCAAAATCCATGCTGAGGCTTCATAATGTTTCAGAAATATCATTTTTCTTCTTTCTATTCTCCAAGGCAAGATTATGTTGAAAAACAATTACAATCAATTATTCTACACATGAAATTTCGCGGTTCAATTACTGAAGAATCAAGCCATACTAGGCTTTAACTCAAGCATGCAGCAAAGTTCTCGTTATTTTTGTCTTGAGTGCATCAAATGCTAGAAATTAGGTTGAGTATTGAAAGAGAATGCAAAGGTAAAATTCCTATAATTTGACATAGAACAACAAACCTCAAAATCCGATTGGAAATAAAGTTCTGAAAATTGAAGAAACATCTTCTCAATCATAACAAGTGAATAATAAGCTTCTTTCCAGCATGGAACCACCGGTTCTTTTGAAACTCCAAGTTCTGCTATATCAACTGCATCTACAGAAACTTTCAAGATATTTCTAGCAGTTTGCATTATACCAATAATATGTCTCTTAAGTCCTCCTCTCCATACTTCAATCAATAACCCAATAACCTGAAAAATCAAACCCCATATACATAGATCATAGTCAAATAAAAGGAAAAGTTATCAGCAAGACAAGCAGAATTGTATAAGGCGTCTTTTCCTTTAAAGAAATGGACTAGTTCTCCAATCAATATCAGTAATTGGTATTGACACATTGAATAAGGAATGCCAATAGTTATTCTTCACAATTTTCTGAAATATAGATCGTTAATCACAGCCGAATCTAATTGTTAAGCTTGATGCATGTCATAATAGAACAACGCACCATGACAAAAGCTTATTTAAAGATATTCATAAAATATTATTTGAACGGTTAAAACAATTTTAAGAAACTGCATATCAGTTATTAAATGCATGATATTGATCAAACTCAATTTATGGATCTTATGAACCACAATGCAATGGTAGAAGATCTCCTTCAAAGAAAAAAAAAAATGAACTTAATCGCTGAATAAAAGCCACCCTTCCTGGAGCCTCCTCAATGTGTATGAGAGCTTGGGAATAGTATATTTTCTTGAGCTAGATTTGGCCGAAGCCACTATTGAGCCCTATGTTTATTTGTTGGCATCCCAAACTTCTTTACGGTAAACATGAAGATGTAAGCTCCAATAATTTCAAGCATCATGGTATTTCACAATCATGCATGATTGTAGAATCAGTTTCATCCCAAAGTACAAACTTTAAGTCTTTTAGCTTCATAGGAGGATCCACCAGACGCTTTCCTTTCCTTTAAGAAACATCTTTATAATTTGTGACAACTCAAATAATTTCTCTCAATCAAGCAATCTGAGACTTGTAGCACTTGAAGTTATCCTTTATTCTAAATTTAATTATTCATGATGGGAAAGGAAGTCAAAGAAACCAGAGATAATAAAAAATAATAATAAATCTCAACTAAAAGGAAGAATAAAAAAAAATGCAAAAGAAGAGAACTCTAACCTCATTCTGATACCATACAGAAAATAGAAGTAGTTAATTGTAGAAAACTACTTGGAATTTCTATTGTTTTTTTTTTTATATATATACAAAGTATGCTGATATATATAGATTCTTCCAAGAGTCTTACCCTAAAAATAAGTGAAAGCTGATTTAAAAAAATTGAAAAATACTCCAAGAGGGGTGGGGGCTAGAGGCGGCAAATAGATTACAATCCAAGGGTCATGAGGAGATTGATCCAATGAATAGAACTCTTAATTCATGCTTTAAGGCATCTCTATCAAGATTGGTTAACATGTGAGTCTCATCAAGGTTGGGTCGTGTGTGGAAGCCCACGCGTGTGTAGGTTTGGACCCCATGATCTTCAATAGTTTATGATGCCAATTTAGGTTAACAAATCAGCATTGGGAGATATGCGAATTTATGAAGAGATAGCTATGTGAATGAGAAAGGGAAAGGAGCATGTCGATCGGTGGCTAGGATGAGGAACATCACAGCACATATCATAAAATCTTTGATGCAAATCTTTATCATGAATAACACCTTAGATTTATGAACTTTGCTCTAATATTGAGGGTTTGTTTGGTTTGCCAAACAAAAAAAGAATAAAAAGTTAAAGAAATGCATTGTAAAATAAATATGGTGTACTTGAAATATTTTATTGCTTGGTTGAGTGTAAAACAAATGCAGAAGAAGGTGATGGTGATGGTCAATAGCGGCAAGTAGCGATAATAATGATCGGTGTCAATCGATGATGGCCAATGGCAGCCGATGGTAGTGGCCAACGGTGGCCAGTGACAGTCGATGGTGGTGGATGATGGTGACTAGTGGCGGCGACAACCATGAACGGCATCAGCAGTGACGGTGGTTGGCAACAATAGTGGTAGGGATGGTTGGCAGCTATAGTGATAGCGGAGACAATGGTCGATAGCGGTAGCGGTGATGATTGGCAGTGGATGGCAGTGACAGTGATAGCAATGGCAATGGTAAGCAGTAGCAACGATAGTGCATTCAAAAATAGGCCAAAATGGACAAATTTTGGAAACACCAAAATGATCTGAGGTGTTATTTTCAAAGTCATCAAAATTTTTCTTTGAATTACTTTTTTATCAAACCAAACACCTATATTTTTAATACCTTCAGATTTTTTATATTTTATACCCAAAACCCTTCAAACCAACCAACCCCTAAAAGAAGTATTGGAGATGCAAAAAGGATAAGGTTATTAGAGAGGTAAAGATATAAGGGTACCAAAAAGGAGCGCCTTAAAAGTTCATAGATCTTCCAACCCTCCCTATTATTAAGGCTATATTGGTCACAAAATTACTAATAAGATTCACGTCAAATTGACTATTAACAGCTTAAAAAATAGGATAAGAAAGAGCAATTCAAACTTAAAATTATATTTTACAATTTTAACGTCAAACAACATAATTTTGCAGAAAGTTCTAGCAATAAAAGGGTTTTAGGCATGATAACATGATTGCGTGCCATATATTGGACAATAAAGCTCACAAAGAAAACTAAAATATAATGAAGGAGAGAAAAACTAGAGCACAAATATACTGCAAGCAATAAGAAATTTCAATAACCTCAGCAGATGGACTCCATAAATATTGTTTCTTGCCAAAGTACCATGACAGGGTATATTCTAGAATTGGCTGCAGCATCTGCTGACTAGTCCGACTGATCAGTTCTTTTAGAACAGTTAAAACCATTGAACGGACCCTTTGGTCCTGCTCATTGGCTAAGGAAACCACCAGGTGAAGGAAAAATGTCTGCACATGACTATCTATAACACTCCTAGGAAATTTAATCAAAATAGCATGAAGCATGTCAAGCACAGACTCTCTTCCCGATGGATGTTCATAGCTGCAGAAATTCCAGAGCAATAAGTAGATTTAAGAAATAAGAAAGAGTAAAAGTAATAGATCCACATAGTAGGCAGTATACCTAAGATTTGACAGCAGGAAATCCATATGTTGCTGCAATCGTTTATCAGAGAGCTGATACTCGAGAAGAAATTGTAAGAGTATCTCGCTGCATTTCCTGCGAATTGGTTCTGACTGACTTGTGACCATTAGTTCAGCAACTCGCAAAATGATGTCATAAATTTCATGAACTACTAGTTTTCGTGCAAAGATTGTCTTCAAAAGTGAGAGTGCTAAAGTGGAAGGGTTTGTTTGAATATCTATAAACATTGGAAATCGAATGATCATGTGAAGTTCGCCATGTGAAATTGAAATCCTAGGATTCCGTAATAGCATCGTAAGCAACTTTATACAGGATAGGGCCAATGAACTGCTTCCATCTCCAGATCTCTGAGCAATAGACAGGAGCAATGACTTGATCTTATCAGATTCTTTATCCATTGATGGCAGGGGAAGCTTAAACAATGGAGCAAGGCATCTGAATGTTGCGGCCAAAACACTTTCAAATTTAGAATTCAGACAGTAACCAAGCTGTTTGACAAATGGGTCTAACATTGATAGTAGCTGCTGGTCGTTCTTGTCCAACTTTATATTCTTCAAACGATTATGCAGCATTTCGAGGGCAAATCCAGTAATGAGATAAGAATTTTTCAAAAAACAAGCACTTTTGCGAAGTGGTTTTTCTTTGACAATAACATCAAAGCTTGACGTTTCATTTTCTGCAGTTTCAGACCTTTCTTTTCTGTAAGAGAGCTCAGCTGCAATATTGTCTTCAATAAGCCCATAAACAAAGATAAATAACTCAGCAGTTTGGGCAGATGGATTACTTTCAATTCCAGATGCAATATGGGACAATATTATCTCAAGTTTCCTTTTTATTTTTGGTGTGAGATGCTTCTCAATGTGATTATGTATGGGAGAAAGCAGTTTCATAGCATGCGTTCTAAAAGTAATGCTCTGTGAAATCAATTTGAGAGTCTCAAAAGATTTACTTTTCCTAGTCTCTTTCATTTTTGAAGCAATTTTTTCAACCTCTTTCTCCTCGGCAACATCTCCAAAAATGTCATTTTCAGCAATAGATACGAGTTCTTCTAAACAGTAATCCAAGCTTCCTGTTGATTTTCCTATGAGAATCTTAGATAAGATGAAATTCAAGCTATATCCTAAAACATGCATTTCATACCCTCGCTTAAGAATTGATTGCATGACTTTAATTATAAAATGCAAATATTCCAATCCTAACTCCTTGGCACATGCAGCCAAAGCAGATCGTGCTTCATCTCTCACGCTTTCAAGACGATTCTTTAGGAATGTACAAACGTGGTGAACGATGCTTGATAGTTGCGAGTCCATAGTATCCAATGGTAGCAGTTTCAGTAACTTCAGGGCAGCAAGACTAATATTAACGTTGACCTTTTCAGAATCCATAGTTAGGATCTTCTGAATTTGAGGAAGGACTGTTTTTTGAAGATAAGATTGTATTTCAGGAATAGCTTTAACAGAAGTACTATCCTGTAATGTCACTATTGCATTCCCTTGAGGATTACCAGAACAAAGAGCATCACAAGAACCAACTTCATCTCTTTCACAAGACTTAGAAGCAAAGAAATGAAACTTGTCCAATATAGCACATATCAACCTTACTAACAGTTTCTGTTTATCTGGACGAACAGTAATCTCACGGAAACATTTCATTAGGAAGGAACGATACGACTCCCATTGCATCTTATTTGAAATAGAAGCAAGTGAATCCAAGCATGCTTCTCGTATATGCTCCCCTTTCCCATCTTTCACTTCAAACATCATACTTAAAAACAGAGGAACAAATATGCTTACAGCAATGTTCTGCAATTATGAAACAAAACCACCAAGTCATCTTCACTTCTGCTTAATTAAAAATACTCAATTAAACCATTGTACCTCTGTGAAATTTCCAGCATTAATGACATTTATAAACCGCATCAAGGCCCTTCTCCTCCTATGTATCTGCAGACAACTTACAATTTGATAAGAGCAGCATAAATTCTGTCAAAACAACTTAGAAGATCAAAAAATACCTGCAGGTGTAGGATATTGTTAAAAAAATCAACTTCAGGATCCTCGCTACATAAAGGTCTAAATGTGCTCAGAGCTGGAACTTCATGAAGATTATAAATCATATCACGCAACAGAGTCATCCATTCCTGAAAGAACGGTGAACAGATATCATTTAAAAAAGCTGAGGAACTAACCTTAAAGGAATATAATGTACATCATCAACATACTTTTTGGATGGAGATTTCCTTTGTCAAAGCTTCTTTCATATTCTTCAAAAGAACATCACTTATTATCCATAGAATGCAGGCCTTTGTCCAATTGGTTTCAATGCTTGTTTCTACAGCTGGACCAGATGATTGATTACATACAGCATCATGTGTGTAAGAATTCTTTGCATCTGTTTTTAGATATGAAGAAGCAAACTGAACAAATGCTTGCAATGATTTAGATGCACATTGCCGAAGGATTAATTCATCAGATGACATATAATATATACAATGCGACAGGATAAGTAATGCATGATTGACTCCAAGAAAAGAAAATAACTCTGGGTTAATTTTCTCATATGCACTGATTCTTGTATCATAATCAAACTCTCCAATATCCATAGAAGATACCGCAGTTAAGTCACGAAGAAGCCTAGCCTGTAAATTACACCGAGTAGAAAGAAATGTTACTTATACTGGGCACAATGATATTCTAATGATAAAGTGAGAAAAATAAGCATGCTTGTATCAATATATCCTTCTTCGTCTCAAGGGTGGGGACAAAATAGAAAATTGCAACCAAGAAATCAAATGACTAAAGATCTGTACCAGATATGCTAAAGATGGATCAATCAGTGCAAGGCTATCAATAATATCACATACGCAGAGCTGAACATCTACTCCTGCAACTGCAAGGATTGGAAAGATAGACTTTAGAATCTTCCCTGATGTCTTCTCAACATTGACAGGTAAATACTGTAGGATCCCCTTCATAACATGCAAGGCTTCCAAGCAATCATCTGCAAAAATAATTGAAGAAAGATAAACTTTGTCGAACCACAAAATAAATTATGAAACAATATTTGTAGATTGGTGCCAGGCAAATGGTTCTTGATTACTCGTAAATTTCATTTAGTAGGCAAGCAGAATAGAAGCATCACTCACCAAAATCTAAAGCTTTCCTTTTGAAAAAAGGGAGTAATATATCCAGGAACGGAAGAGCTATCGATTGACTTTTCACATACTTCGCTATCAGTTTGAATATCCTCAGCTCTCTCTTTCCCGGCCAAATGGCAGATTTCCTATCATCAAACTAAGAAATAAGCAAAGAACTAGCATACTCACACTTTGCATGGTAACAGAACTTGAAGCAAGATGTCATGATGTAAAAAATCTAATTAATCAGGCATGTAACAAGCAAAAAACATAAGTTGATAGTGAAGTACACAAATGCTCCTCCAAATGATTAGATTTCTAACATTCTTCTTAACTAATACTTGCCTGAAAAAATGGATTGAATTCTTGAACTTAAATGCTTCAAGGATATAGCATTTTAACAATTTCTATGAGGCAATGGATAATGGCATCAAACCACATTAATCAAGTGTTGAATTAGTCAGTACAATGGAGCTACAATCAATGGTCATTATAAAGTTGGTTACATAGTCATAGAAAAGTGGCCGCCATTAGACATTACTTGCATGAAATAAATTAAAAAAATTTATCAGTTGAAAAAGTCAGTGGTGTCAGCTACACCTTCATCACACGGAGAAAAGTTCAATTGGATTGCAAACATCAGTTCCACTTTGGAAACTTAAGTCCAACGTATAAGAATAGAAGATCGACAGCATGAGACTGCAACCAAACATCTCAATTCCAAAAGCTACGTGCATAGGAGAAGAAGAAGAAAAGAATTACCTGTGTGAATCTTCGTTGGACAGAATAAGTTCATGAAAATTCTTGACAAGTACTTCAAGATGAGGATAGAAAACTGCTTTTATAGAGTCATTCTCTAGATCAGAATCAGTTTCCAGGTTCAACAAATTCTCTATAAAACCAAGTACTGAAGATATAATGGCATCAGATGCAGTCCTTACAGTAAGAATTGAAAAGATTGCAGGCACAAGATTTGCCTCCCTATTTAAGAATGATACAAGCACAGGGCTTCGGCTCATAACCAGAAAGCAAGAAAATAGTGAGCTTGGTTTTTCACTGCTAGAACCCTCATTCTTGAAGTTGTCTATTAGAGGTTTTACAGAATTGAAGAAAATGTCCCAGAACTCGCAACCAAAGTCATGGCTGTCATGCTTGCTCAGAGCTGAAGATAAAATCTTCAAACATAAAGATCGCAAATCCTTTAACTGTTTACCAGATGCGCTCATCTATAGAAAACAAACGTGGTTATCAGGAGTGGCAGTTATGACATACAAGAAAAACCATAGAATGAATCAGAACCAAGAGGCAATGATGTAGAATCTCACATGATGTATAAGTTTTCTAGTTTTAAAATCATAAATAAAACAAGAGATCATTTACAAAATTAAGCACATGAATAATAAAAATATGGAAAATTTACCTATAAACATTTGTTTATATAAGAAAGAGAAAGAACAACCCAATATTAGTTGACAGAAACAGTACCAATCTGAGAAAGATAAAGAATTAATTGTAAAATAATAGTGATGGAAGGCGGACACTTAAAAAACACTTCTATGGGATCATTATCCTGTCAGCCATCATGTTGAATACTAGTGCATCGGGACACTTAAGGAAACTGATTTGGGCTAGCAATGTCATTTGAGTATTCTAAATTAATTATTTTAATGGGCTATTTGATTTGAAGTATAAGTGGTGTAAAGTATTCCAAACTTAATAGTTCTGAAAATGTTGATGTTTGGTTTGAAATAAAAGAAATGCAAAGAAAGATTTTCAAGTATTTGGAATTCACCCTCTTATTCAAATTTGGTGTATTTGGAAATCATTATATTTGACCGATTTTCAAAAGCATTGTAAATTCCATATCATTGCCCTTGCAACCACCGCCACCCGACACTATCGCTGCTATCTTCCGTTAGCTACCACCCGCCATGGCCGCTTGACATCACAGTTTGCTAGACATTGGTCGCCGACCACCAACCACCACCAACATTGAGTTTTACACTGCATTAATTTTACTTCAAGCCAAACAAAAAAATAATAATCACCTGCATTTATTTTGCACTCATCCAAACAACTCAAAACATTTCAAATACATTGCATTAAATTTTCCTCTCCATTCATTTTTCAAAAAACCAAGTCCCCTAAATGAATCTCCAATGTAGCTTGTTGGATGACTCTTGAATAGTGCAAGAAGCCCATGGACAAAAATTAATTACGCCACTGGAACATGTTTATATGTCAAATCAATCTTATTTTAGATTTTAACTATCAACATTACATCTTTATCATCCCACTTGATATCATTGTCACTAGCTGAATGCTTCAGTTGTGCGCTTGACAAGGGATTTTGATAGAAAACAACAACCACAGTGCAGTAAATTGCGGAATTTCAGAGAAATTCAGCAAGTTTGATGCAAAAATTCCAAACTTAATAGAGAAAACAACAAAATCTCCAATTCAACAAAAGAACAAGAAAAACAGCAAACGATACAAGAATCTTCAATCCGAGAGGAAGATTCAACTTACCAAATCTCTAGCCCAAAAGCAAAATCCTAGATCTCAAATTCATATTCAAATTCAAGATGAAACTCTAAACCTCACAAGAGAAACTAATTAAAGCAAAGAGGACAATTACAAAATCCCTAAACAGCCCCTAATTCAAATTTTTCCTCCCAAAGCAAGGTTTAATTGAGTTGTGGACCCCATCTCTCCAGCCAGACTCCTCTCTCCCTCTCTCCCATGGTTCCGCCCGCCCCTTTGGATAGATGCCTGTAGCATAGAACCAGTCCAGGTTGGACGATTCAGCCGGCCCAATGGCCAGCATAAGGGATTCACAAATATTATACCATTTTCAGTATCTATGGCATTAGTATTAGTTAACGGACATGCATATAATCACACGCATATGCTTGTTGTGTCACATATTCTTCAAGATTTTTCATGTCTCCATGTCCTGTGTTGGGGTTTGTGACACATCGTGGTACCTAAACCACTTAAATGTACTTTTAGCTTATAATACTAATGCTCAATTCTGATACACAAATTTGCAAGAATCAAATCATGTTATCATCGCTTTGTAAATAGATTAAAGTTCATAATCACCAACTGCCATAAAAGTGATTGATTTGAATGTTTAAAAAGTTCCGTCAAAATAATTGTCCGATAGGTAGATTTTTAACTAACCACAAGGAAATTATGTGCTGAATTTTCTGCAACATCAACCTCCAAATCCCCAGCAACACATTTTTCTGAAGCACAAATCTTTCTGCCAACTTCATTTTTGATGTTTGACATGCAATTCTCAAGAATCAAGACAACAAATGTCATTAATGGCCTAAGAAATGGCCTGATGTGTATCTCATCAAAGGTTTTAAGGACATCTTCTAATACATATAAGAATCCGTATTTCCTCTTCAATGATATATTTGCAATGGCTTCAGTGATTGAACAATTCAAAGGTATAAGCGACTGCCATTGGCCTGAAAATCTGCTGCATATACCATCAGAATAACCATCTAGAACATTGACTCCATGATGGTTCCATAACAATGGTTTCAACAGTAAAGAAAAGAAGAGATGAAGATCATCAACTTCAAGTTGTGCTAAAAAACAAAGGATTGCCCTTCGAATGTTCATACCTGCATGCTGAAAAAACACCAACAACAAGGGCAACTCTTCAGCTAGAGAACAAATAAACAGTAACAGACAACAGAAACAGCAATACGACAGAACAATGCATATCTGAAGAAGGGGCACAAGACAAAAACCTTATGTAATGCAAGTGTTTTTATCTTCCTCACTTTTGGTGCTAACAATCTAACAACAACAGGAATTAACTGAGCCCTGTGTTCTTCCTGAATATATTCAGACTCTTTAGAAACAGCCCAGGTAGTGAGTTCCTCACGAATATTCCTTGAAATGATCAGGTTTTTTAGATGCTGATCATATGGAATGAGGTAGTCGTCCTTCCAGTTTAATAAACAATCTATAACGTTCAACTGTATATCAGGGTCGACTTCATCAAGAAGCCTGAAAAGGATAACAACGTATCATGAATCAATAGAAGTTCAAAATACAATATATCAGCACAGTTTAAAAAGAAAACAGCAATATTGGTATCAATATTCACACGTGTAACTTGCTCCAAACAAACCTGCTCATTAGAACATCCTTGAGAAGTTGACTTTTATACAAAGATCGGGAATTGTGCATTAGTTTCAATAAGCTCAACCATTCTTTGAGAACTGATCTCCATTCCTTTCTTTTGCACTTATACTCACTAAATGATTCAACACTGAAAAAAACGTAAAAAAAAAAATAAAACTGAAAAATAAACTTCCAGAAACAAGGTGTTCACAATTATAATCAACTAAGGAAGAAAATCAAAGCACTAAAGGCTGTTCAATGGAGAAAACCTGAATTTGTCAACATCAGTATAGCCCAAAAATTTCAAGAATAGAGGGATAAGTTGGCCGGAATGAGATTCTGCGATTGCAGATATTTTTTGAAGAGTTTTAAGCAAAAGAGCCATCACCGTTATGCATGGTGTACTATCAAATTCATATTCTAGATACATGTTGAAGCACTGGACAAGAGCTGCATAACAAAGGATTGTAAGTAAAAAGTCAAATAAGTAATAGACTGTTGTAGATTACCTAAGGAATAAAAAAAATAAGTTTTTCACTGACACCAGTAAAGCAGAACTTGACTCACGAGTAAATCAAGCTCGAAGAGAACAGTTTTTAAGAGGGGGGGGTGGCAAGCGTATTATCAAATAAAACAACACAAAAACAACGTATTTCCACACAGTACAGAACTATCAGCATGAACAGCATTACATCTTCAACCTTCTCCCTGCACATTGTGGTTCTTTGCTCCCCTAAGTAAAAAGAACTCAACACAATCATCATCATTACACACTTCAACCATCCAATTAATTTACTTACCTTAGTGAATCCACATCAGTTCATTCTAGATGAAAGTTAAAGTCGATATTTAAACAAGTTTGTCAAAACCTTTCTACAAACTATTAGGCTTATTAGACTTCATCTACCACTCATCCTATTCCTGCCTTTCACATCATCATCAGCAGCAGCAGCAGCAAAAGCAAATCATCAAAAACAACAACAGCACAACTACACGAGATCGTGTCATGAATCCTTCTCCATCTGTTTCCAATTCAAAGTTTCATGTTGTATAAAACCAAGTTTAACTATATCCTCCCGCAAAACTGTATAATATGTTGAGGTTAGCCTTGTATTTTATTACTTAGCTTGATCAATCTCTCCCCCAAGCCTGCTAGTGGTTCTCTCTGATTACCCATATATCCAATTTATTTTGTATTATCTTATTGTCAACAGGTACTACTAATACAAATTATCAAAAAAAGTCTTTCACATGCATCCATGTGATAGGTTCCACTTGAATATTCCAAGTGATTCCTATCGGATTCTTGCCAAAACACAATTATTCCACTGTTTTCAATAGAAAACAGCCACCAAACAGTAGAAAAAACTGAGAGAATAAGGAGAAAACGTTGGAAAACAATAGAAAACAATTGTATTCCCTTAGTAGATGATCAAAACCAAAGCAAGATACAATGTTCTTCAATTCGAGAGGAAGAACAACTCTCCAACAATCTCCGGCAACACCAAGAGCCCAAGCAAGAAAACCTAGAACCAAAACTCTTTTCAAAATCCAGATCATAACCTAATCCCCCAAGAGCCCCATAACTCCCTATTAGTACAATCTAATTCAAATTAAAAGCAAAAGGACTTCTCTACCCCTCCTTCTCCCTCCAAAAACACTTAAACCATGTTTGAATTGCAAGCGGACCCCACCCCTTGGCCCTTTCCCTCTTCCGCCTCCCCTCTGTTCCGTTTCCGCCTGGAGAAGACCCGGACCGGCTGGGCCGGTCCAGGTTGGGCCGGTCCAGGCTGGACCGGCATAACATTACCCCCCTCCCAAAGTACCACCTTGTCCTCAAGGTGGAAGGCAGGAAACTGCTCTGCAATCCTCTCCAGTGGCTCCCATGTGGCCTCATAGTCTGGGAGGCCGCTCCACCTAATCTTCACTTCCTTTTCCCCCTTCTCAGTGATGCGCACTCCTTCTACCGCTATAGGCTCCAGTGTCACTTCCATGTCCTCCCTCAATGTGCTGGGCAACTCTGGGCTTACTGCATGCTCCCCCACCACTTTCCTCAACTGTGAGACATGAAAAACGGGGTGTATTCTGGCTGTTGGAGGAAGCCTCAATCTATATGCCACCTCCCCGATTTTCTCCTC